GTGCATCAGGCTGTTCTGTGCTGCCACCTCCGGGTCTGTATCAGACGAAGCTTCGTGGCGGATCGTGATATCGCATATGGACCGCGGTTCTCGGCCATCCTGGATGATCTGGGTGGTGTTTTGGAAGAGAGGACCGTGATAGACGCTGCGTGCCCTGAGATTGGCAAACAAGTCCTGGGGGTTTGGCTGGCGGGTGTAAGTCGACAATGGACGACGACGTTCAGTCTCTAGGACAGCTGACTCCTCTATACCAACCATGCCCGTAGCGTGCAGTGTCCAGCGGTTCTCCAATGTGACTGACGAGACCTCAAAGCGCCACCAGCCTTGAGCCCCGAGCTCACGCTCAGGGACAGACTGGAGCGTGGTTCGGATCTCCACACCATCCGCATTGTCTGGAATAACAAGGGCAAACAAGAAGTTGATGTCACGCAGGCGGAGTCCTGAGATTGCCTTGTCCTGATCAGTCAATTGCCTAGCAGCCTCGATTGCAAGGCAAATATAGCCGGCGCCCGGGTATACAATACTGCCTTGGACCATATGATCGCGCAGCCACGGGGTTTCGGTGACACGCAATACCCGGCGCCATACGGACGCGCCGGGGTCATTGCCAGCGACGGGCATGCCGAGTAGTTCGTGAGGAGGCTGGCTGCGCTCGCGAATGGCACGGTTGACTCTGGACTCTTGCCAATGGCGCATCGTGTGATTCCAGGGATACGATGGAAGGTCGGTCAAGACCTGGGGGCCCTCGTCGTCATATTCAGGCACGGGGAGATTGATCTGGTCCATGGCAAGGGATTGTCCTTCACGTAACAGGTTGATCGCGGCGGAGCGCATACTGTCGCCTGCATGCTCGTCGCGTACGAGGCAGCCCCAGTATGGAAGCTCAATGCCCTCAAACTCGGGCAGTGACAAGATCTCGCGGATCGGACCTCCCAGGGCTGTATGAGGGCCGACCTCGAGAAGGACATCGACGCTTCTGCCCGTCGGGTCATCAGGATCCCCGAGAACCAGCTCAGTCAAGGCGTCAACGAACTCTACCGGCTGCACCAGACTACCGACCCAGTGATCGGGGCTGGCAATCTCCTTGATGTCGGTGATGCGCCCGCCAGTGACTGCCGATGAGAAAACCATCTTGAGCTCCTTCTTGTCGCCTTTGACTACACTCCGGGCCATCTCGATTCGAAGACGCTCCCGGTAGGCATCAGCAAAGGGGTTCATATGGTGTGAGTGGTATGCCTGTTGGACCTTGAGACGACGAGCAAACACGTCGTTCTGCTTACACAAGTCGGTAATCTCGTCAACGGCGTCTTCATCACCGGAAATGGTGACACTTTGAGGGCTGTTGACGCATGCAACCACAGCTTTGCCCTTGGTCAGCCTCTCGAGGTAGGGCTGCACCGCGTCAACACCCATCCCGACCGCGGCCATAGCACCTTTGGCAGATCCCGGTGCGCGCTGTGTCTCGTCTGCTACAAGGATGGCTCGGAAATAGGCTGTAGCTATGGCCTGACGATGTGTGAGGGCTCCCACAGCAAAAGCCGCTGAAATCTCACCTGACGAGTGGCTGGCGACTCCTGATGCCATGATGCCCCAAGATTCAAGCAGACGGACTAGAGCAATCTGCAGTGCTACACAGATGGGGATGCTGATCTTTGTGTCATGGACCTTTGATGTCTTCTTGTCACGCTGTAGCTCCTCGAGCAGTGACCAGTCAGTCCCGAGGGCGTCCAGGTACGTCTCAGCATCCTCAATGGACCGACGGAAGACAGGGTACAAGGTCAGTAGCTCACGACCCATGGCATACCACTGCGCGCCCTGGCCGGTGAAGATCATGCCGATGCGTGGGCTCTCAGAAGCTCGACGGGTTGGCTTGAAACGAGGCGATTCAAGGGCTTGGATCGCAGAGTCGAGAGTCCCGTTATCAAGATGGACCTGGTGCGCTGCAACCCACTGGAAGAAGGTCCGACGCTCGCCCAAGGTGTAGACTAGGTTCTGCAGTAGCTGCTCGGATTCCTTGTGGTCAAGAGACTTGTGCTTCTCCAGATAGTCCTTGAGGTCGGAAACCATTTGCTGGCAGCCTCGTTCGTCGCGCGCACTGAGGATGAGCACTTTGGCATCCGAGACATTGTCCGAGACATCCCCATTTTTTTTCAAGCCGTTGCCATTGATGAGTTCAACATCCAGACCTGAAGTCAAGGTCCAGGGGTCGGCGTTCTCCAAAATTACATGAGCATTGGCACCGCCGTAGCCAAAGTTGTTGACTGACATGCGGCGAGGGCCATCAATCAGACTGTCAGGCCACTGCTCCATCGTCCTAACCACCTTGAGTCGCCACTCGTCCAGCTTGAGCTTGGGGTTGGGCGTTTCATAGTTGACAGTAGGCGGGATTAACCCCTTCTCGAGACACAAGACACCTTTTATGATGGCAGCAAGACCCGAAACGGCCTCAGTATGGCCCACGTTGGTCTTTACGGAGCCAATACGCAGATAGTGGTCCTTGTCGTCCCGGCCTTGGCCTTCGCTGAAGATGGTGGCCATGGCTTGCGCTTCAATTGGGTCACCAGTGGGCGTCCCTGTGCCATGAGCCTCGAAATATTGGGTGCCGCGAGGGTCAAGGCCAGCACGGTTGTAGCATTCCCGCATGAGATCTACCTGCGCTGCACCGGATGGCGTTGTAATTGTGTCCGTCTTGCCATCCTGGTTCAACGCTGTCTCACGGATCACTGCACGAATGGGGTCATTGGCAGCCAGCGCATCCGAAAGACGCTTGATAATGATGGTAGCCACGCCCTCTCCGCGGCCATACCCATTAGCACGGGAATCAAACGAGTATGACCTCCCGTCAGGCGACAGCATCCCCAGCGACCCGATGGCCTTGAATGTGTCCGGATTCAGCATCACGTTGGCGCCAGTCACCATGGACATGTTGGCCTCACGGTTGCGCAAGGTCTGCACCGCTTGGTGGAGAGCCACCAATGTCGTCGAACAGCCGGTTTCTAGAGTCATGCTGGCGCCCCGGAAGTCGAAAAAGTGCGAGATGCGGTTGGATGACATGGGGCTCCATGTGCCGACTACGTTGAATCGTGGTAGTCTATCTTCGTCTCGGATGATTCCCTCCTGGTAGTCGTGGGCGAAGACGCCAGCAAAGACGGATGCCTGAGACCCCATTACCTGGGACAGGGGCAAGCCGGCTGAAAATTTAGTTAGTTGATGTCAATATGACTCGAAAGCACGGAGAGCAGACCGTTTTCAAGCGCTTCATAAGCGGATTCGAGCTGCAGCCGGAATTGAGGGTCGACCACCTGGGCCATCTCCGCCGAGTAGTTGAAGAAGGCTGCATCAAAGGCTGCTATATCCTCTTCCAGAAAGTGACCCCCTTTGACATGTGTCTGGGCTTGTCAGTAAAAGCCTCTAGGTTGCCATGCAGAGAGTGGCATTACCGTGCTGGTTCTTTCGTGGTTTGCGTGATAGACTCCTTTGAGGTTATACCGATCCTCCGGAATCTCACTCCATCCGGTCTTGCCTGATTCCATAAGGTCCCAGAGCTTGTCTGGATTGCTAGCACCGCCGGAAAACTTGCAGCTCATGCCGATGATGGCAATCGGCTCACTGGCCCACTCGCCGTCGGTGTCCATTTCGATGTAGAAGTAGAATGGATGGTCGTCGGGGCTTGAATATGATTTAGTTTACAAAGAGGAAAAAGGGTAGGGAGGTAGCAGTCCGCAGCTAAAGTATGGCAAAGTATTCCGAAAGTAAAAGTATCCTGTTAAGGTGGAGATATCTTCATACATATACATATATATATATAAACACATTTACCAGCCCCTACGAATCAATTAATTCACCGAAGCCTATCACAATCAGCTACACTCCTACAGTAAGGATGGTGCGGGCAATCCCTAATCCCTAATTCCTAGCCCTAATAGCTCAAAATAGTTGCAGGCCATCAACGCTACATTTTTTGTCCGACACGCGACAAACTTCAAGCGACATCTCACGTCAGGCTGAGCCACGGACATAAGATATTGTTTATGCTGTTGTATACTCCGTCTATTTATTATAAGGGGTGGATGTGTCCTGTAGCATCGAAATCAGCCCACCAACTTGCCTTCATCCTCGACGTCAATTTCAATCACCCCTACAGACAATCCTCTATAGACAACATGGTTCGAAACGGAACCCCCCTCCCTGCCAAACTGGCTGGCCCCCTCTCAGCGACCGCGAGGCCATCGCCGACGCTTGCTACCGCGCTTTCGCCTCCATCGATCATGCCAGCGAGGAGCTTCTCGAGTCCAGCGCGACGCCCGATATCTACACCGACATCGCCTTCAAAGCGTGCGACGGCTACGAAGAGCTGAAAAACAAGGTGTGGATTAATGTTGCCGAGCGAGTTGACACCGTCCACTACCTCTCCAACGTCCGTGTCAGCGTCGACACTGAAACCACTGCCCGGGTCACCTTCAACGCCCAGGCAGTGCACTGCCTCGTGGGAAAGGGCTACGAACCAGACTCTACCAAGTTCACTACCGGTGCATTCTACGCCTGCGATGCTGTCAAGGTGGACGACCTTTGGAAGCTGAAGACGATGAAGTCGACTCACATTTGGTCTACTGGCGATCCTTCCATCATGAAGCCCCCTGGTAGTGAATAGATAGGAGTAGATAGTCGTTATGGTACTCGACAATGTTAAAGTGTTAAATTGCTCTCGCCGGTGTCTCAATATCTTCCAGTCAGTAACTAGTTAGGGTTGTGCTCCAGGGCTTTGATGATTGATGTTACGTAATAGTAGTGGTTAGTCAGCGGGCACGTGTCACACAGGCAGCAACTGGCTGCAACCAATAAACATCATCTTACCTTCCCCTGAGCTATCGGCGTAACACGTGAGCAATGTCTGAACTGGGTCGTAGGAGAATCTACAATCAGGAGAAAGCCCATAAAGCTCACAGGCACAAGGTTTAAAAGACACACAAAATCGTTTTAACAACAACTTAACAGAGTATCTACAGTAACTTTCGGTGACTCCTCGCCAACGCACGCAGTTCCGGCTGGAGAGGCGCCAGCACATCATAGGTCACCACGTTCCCCCAGTTCTCCTCGAGCTTCTGCTTCATCCGCTGTGGATCACGGCCTGTCGGTCCGTACCTCCAGTGGTACATCTGGCCCATCTGACGCGAGTGGTGGTGGATCCACCGGCCTCGCTCCAACCTTGCTCCACTGTACGTCTGGAGCGCCTCTCCCAACGCCTCCTTCAGCTCTTCGCCGGCAAGGGCCTGCTGCTGCACCGACTCCAGTAGCGTGCAGATAACAAGGGCGTCCTCAACGCCGGTGCAGGCCCCCACTCCCATATATGGGGTACTGGCGTGTGCAGCGTCGCCGACGAGACAGGCTCGACCGCGGGCATATGTCGAGGGGGGATTATCTTCCAGATCAAAGATCCCCCACTTGACAACCTTCTCGGGATAAAGTTTCCAGATGTCAGCAATCTGCGGGCTGAAACCCTGGAACACCTTTGCAATCTCGCTGCGGTCCACTTGGACCGTCATCCTATCGGGGTCAGGAAACTCCGAGTCCTCGTAAGCGAAGACGGCGATGTTGAGCAGAGTCATGGACATGACTGGATAGCAGAGCAGGTCCACATTTGGCCCCAGATGGTTACAGGCGTTCTTCGCAACCTTCTGACCGAGGGCTTTGATGCCCACATCGATGGGGACCATGGTGCGGTATGTGACGGTGTGACTGAAGCCTGCCCGGCTCTCATCCGCTAGCATGACCTTCCGGGTGACTGAATGGATGCCATCACAGCCGAGCAGAACATCGGCCTCGGCGGTGCTGCCGTCGTCGAAGTGGAGAATAACTTTGTCGCTGACCTCGTCGTAGCCCGCAAGCTGCTTCCCAAAGATCGTCGCTTCTTCAGGTAGCATGGCCGCCATCCCCTTGAGGAACTGCGATCGTACGCAGCCCCAGAAGCTGAGGTTGTTGGTGGGCGTCCGGAAGAGCAGTGACTTGGACTCATCTTCAGCTTCCTCGTTTGTCCGAGGGTGAAAGCCGTTCCAGTAGGCGTTGCTCGTGCTGGCGTCGGATTTGCCGCTCATGCTGCCCAGGAGCTCAACGAGAGCTGGATCGATCATCTCCATCCACTCTCGCGCTGCTCTGGTGAATGCAAACCCGGCACTGACCTCGTGCCAGGTCGAAGCTCGCTCATAGATGATTGCGTTGATGCCCCGGCGACGCAGGCCGATTGCTGTCATGACGCCGATGATGCCACCGCCAACCACGGCCACTTGAAGGGGGGTGCAATGCTTCCCATATTGGTAATAACGAGTTCAATTGATGAAGAGGATGTAGTGAAGAAGGGCAATGGAAATGGCACATTGGATAAATCTATATATATCCATGTCCATGTCCATTCCATATTTGTGGTATGACCCGGAACCCGGAAGGCTGGGTCCGGACTTTGGATTCCCCATTTGAGATGTGATTCCATGCCCATCCACGCGGAGTCCTGTATGCATCCTCGGATCAATTCAAAATCCATGACGGATATGCAACGGAGTAGGGAGTAATACCACATCAAGGTAGATCAGTGCCGTTTCCACGTGCTTGACAGGCTTGTCACCATATCATCTGTCTTGAACGTTCACCCCCGGCCTAGCATATTCAGCATTTAGCATCGATGTGTTTAGGCTGATGTACGAGCGACTAAATGTGTCACTTTTGACTTAATTATTATTGGGTTATACTTCCTGTCTGCTTTCACCATCGCCTTCTCGGAGTATATACCAGTTTAATTAATTGCTCTTCATTTCTATAGTTAGTCACTTTATACCCTCTCTTACTATACCAAGGGCGCCCTTGTATTGATCATAAACCTTATAAAGATAAAATTACTACTACTCTTTAGGCAGAAGGCTTTAATATTAGTCCTTATATATTATAAAGGCCCCGGCTATAGCTTGGTATTCGTCGTTGTACTACTTCGTATAGAATAACTTAATATTTTGAAACTTAGATACCTCTATCACAGTTATTTAGGTACTTTAATTTATACTAGGCATTCCAATGGCTGAGTTCGCTGATATTTTGTCCCGGATCGAGTGTCAGCTTCCTTCCGCGCGAAAGATATTGCGTGCATAGCGCTCTAAGTATCTAATCTGTACGGTATTTATAACAAGAAATGAACTGGGCCTTTTCTCTGCAACCAAATACATACCATTCATTTATTTATTTCCTTAAGTCTAGTGTATAGCGGGTCCTACAATCTCAACATTAAGCAATATGAAGCCTTCATCAAACACTCATCAAGCAACAAGTTTCATCTTTGGAGGACACATTGGCCCACAGACCAAGAACTCACTGGAAAAAGAAGTTCGGAAGATCGCCAACGGCCCAAATGGAGGATGGATACTCGATACTCTGGCCGGCATGCCACGGTACTGGGAGGCCGTGACGGAGAAGATCCCCGAAGTGACCAGCACGATGCAGGGCCCTAGCTTGCTGGCCGACCTTGAATCGTGGTTTCGAATGGGTTCTGACTCGGTCGACTCACTCGCTCCAGACGCGGAGCTCCCAGATCTTTGGCTCGGGATTCTGATGGTTGCCATTCAGTTGGATCAGTATTGGCGCTATCTGGAGAGTCGACTCGCTGACAGAGCCGTCGGCGACCTACAGGCAGAGTTAATCAAAGAAAACAAGGTCGAGGCAGTTGGGTTCTGTGCTGGCATGATTGCCGCCGTTGCCATTGCCAGCTCCCACACTCGACAAGAATTCGAAAAGTACGGCGCCGTGGCCTTGCGCATCGCGGCCCTGATGGCAGTCCTTGTAGGTGCCACCGAGGAGTGGACCAAAGCGATGGGCAAAGGCAGGTCGGTCTCGTTGGCCACAGCCTGGAGAACTCGCAAGCAGGGCGATGATCTGGCGCACATCTCGAAGCTGTCTCCCGACGCCTATATATCTGTTATCCTTGATGACTCCCGAGCTACGGTGACAGTATCAGAGCGCCTCGCACCCAAGCTGGTTCGGCAGCTCCGAGCAGTCGGCGTCACGGCCATCCAGCTTCCTTTCAAGGGGCAGCTTCACTCCCCGACGGCAGAGCGCGAATATCTCACTGAAGCCGTGATCGAAATGTGCCACTCGATGCCCGAGCTGCAGTATCCCGATGCTGCCCAGCTCGCATTGCCTATCAACCAGGTCTCGGGCCAAGAAACGGGCTTGGTTGGGATGGTCCTACGTTCTATGCTGGTGAAGCAGTTGAACTGGACCAGCACCGCTTCGAAGCTGGCGCTGAACAAGGAGGAGCTCTCACGCGTTGAATTTGGGCTCGACCGACCGCTGCCTCCACCGGTGGTGCGAGCCTTTGGTGCTAAGCTTGACTATAAGGAGGTCGATGTGCCCAAGCACCGACTACACGACAAGGGCAAAGAGCCTGTCGACACTGATTCAGTGCAAGTCGTAGAGCAGCCGCGTCAAGAAGCAGATGAAAATGCAATTGCAGTGGTGGGCATGTCGCTCAAGGTTGCAGGAGCCAACGACCTGGAAGAGTTCCAAGAGATGCTCAAGACCGGACAGTCGCAGCACCAGCTCATCACCGACGACCAGATAACGCCCAACATGATGTTTCGCGAGAAGGACCCCAATCGGAAGTGGTATGGAAACTTTGTGCGCGACCCAGATGCTTTTGACCACAAGTTCTTCAAGAAGAGCCCGCGCGAGTCGACGGCGATAGACCCCCAGGGCCGGCTTTCTCTCGAGGCCGCCTATCAAGCTCTGGAACAGTCTGGATATTTCAACGAGCTGGCTATGACAAGTGCTGCTGAGCAGGAAAGGAAGAAGCACGTTGGGGTCTACGTCGGGCTCTGCTCTTACGAGTACGATTCCAATGTCCACTGCCATCCACCCAGCGCCTTCACGACGACGGGGGAGCTCCGAAGCTTTATTCCCGGCCGGGTCTCGCATTACTTTGGATGGACGGGCCCATCGTTGACCTTTGATACCGCTTGCTCTTCGTCTACCGTAGCCCTCCACAATGCCTGCAGAGACTTGCTGTCCGGAGAGGTCCCAGCAGCGATGTGTGGCGGTGTCAATGTCTTGACAAGCCTGCAATGGACGCAAAACCTGGCCGCTGGCAGCTTCATCAGCCCGACCGGCCAGTGTAAGCCCTTTGACTCTGGTGCAGATGGGTATTGTCGAGGCGACGGAATTGCCTACGTCTTCCTGAAGAAGCTGTCAACCGCCGTAACTGATGGCAATACTGTCCTGGGGACCATTCGCTCTACGGGCGTCAACCAGAACCTCAACACCACGCCGCTCTTTGTTCCCAATGTCCCGTCACTATCGACGCTCTTCAACGAGGTGATTCGCAAGGCACGCGTCGACCCACGCGACATTTCGTTGGTCGAGTGCCACGGCACTGGCACCCCTGTGGGAGATCCTGCTGAATGGCAAAGCATCCGGAATGCCGTGGCTGGTCCTCGACGTGATACGGTTCTGCCTATTGGATCAGCAAAGGGGCACGTTGGCCATACTGAAGGCGCATCAGGCCTGGTCTCCTTGATCAAGGTGCTGCTGATGATGCGAGGCAACTTCATTCCTCCCCAAGCCAGTTTTAACACGATGAACCCCGGTATCCACGCACAGCCCTCGGACAACATGGAGGTAGTCACAGCCTTGCGGTCGTGGGCCGGAGCCCGGAAGGTGGCTCTGCTCAATAACTACGGTGCTTGTGGATCCAATTCAAGCGCGATCGTCGCTCACTCGGCGCACAAGTCTGCCAAAGCCACCCTGTCCGGTGGACAACGACTTCCCTTCTGGATCTCCGGCCTCGATGCCCGCAGCATTGCAGCGTACAGCACCGCACTGGCTCCATACCTCCAGTCACAAGACCAAGTGACAAGTCTCGCCGATGTATCGTTCAACATGAAATGGCAATCGAACCCCGGTCTGACTCAAGGAATGATCTTCAGCTGCGGTTCCTTGGATGAGCTACATGCCAAGCTTGCTCAGGCAGCCAAGGCTACCAAGGACACAGCCCCCAGTGTCGGCATTGCGCCCTTGAAGCGTGAGCGACCCGTCATTCTGTGCTTTGGAGGCCAGGTCTCGACATTCATTGGACTGGATCGCGCAGTATATGAAGGGGCAGCAGTGTTCAGGCACCATCTGGATACCTGCAATGCCGCCATCACATCTCACGGTCTGAAGAGTATCTATCCCGACATCTTCTCTAGCGAGCCATATCAGAATACTATCAAGTTACAGACTGCTCTCTTTGCCGCGCAATATGCCTCGGCTAAGGCCTGGATGGACTGTGGGATCGCTGACAAGGTGGTCTCTGTGGTGGGCCACAGCTTTGGGGAGATCACAGCCCTCTGTGTTGCAGGCGTGCTGAGTCTGGAGGACACGGTCAAGTTGATCGCCGGTCGAGCCAGGCTGGTGCAGACCGCCTGGGGGGCTGACTCCGGTTCCATGATGGCCATCGAGGCCGACGAAGCTGTGGTACAAGATTTGCTCCAGGAATCCAACGCGAACTCCGACGGAACTGCGGGAATCGCATGCTACAATGGCCCTCGCAGCTTCACCGTGGCTGGATCAACCAAGGCCATTGACGCATTTGCGGCCACGCTGCCAGGAAAGGAGGTCAAGAGCAAGCGTCTCAACGTCACCAATGCCTTCCACTCAGCCTTGGTAGAGAGCATTGTTGACCGTCTGGGGGAGGTTGGGAAGGGTGCCACCTTCCATGAAGCCGTCATCCCGATAGAACGAGCCACTGAGCATGGCGGCGACTCTACGTTGGACTGGACCTTTGTCGGCTCGCACATGCGCCAGCCGGTCTTCTTCAACCACGCTGTACAGCGACTCGCGGAGAAGCATCCTGAGGCCATCTTCCTTGAAGCTGGCTCCAACTCGACCATCACCGTCATGGCATCGCGGGCCCTTGCCAACCCTCAGCCGACGCACCACTTCCAGTCCATCTCCATCACCAACACCAACAAGGGCATCGACAGGCTCACCGATGCAACGGTAGACCTCTGGAAACAGGGCCTACGGGTGTCCTTCTGGGCCCACCACCGCCTCCAGAAGGACGAGTATGCGCAGCTCCTCCTGCCGCCTTACCAGTTCGAAAAGACACGGCACTGGCTCGAGCTCAAGTCACCAATCGAGCAAGCCATGAAGATTGTTCAAGTCCAGGATGGGATCAAGACTCAGCAGGAGCACGTCGACCCCAAGTCTCTTGACATGTGGACGTTCCTGGGCTTCCAGGAGCACAAGAAGAAGGGCAAGCTGGCTCGATTCCGCATCAACACATCCTCAGACAAGTATCAGCGTCTCTTTGCAACCCACTTCATCGCGAAGACGGCGCCCATTGCTCCAGCCACGCTCGAGATTGACCTGGCCATCGAGACCCTTTTCAGTCTTAGTCCGGAATGGAGACGTAGTGGTTTCTCGCCGATCATCCGCGACATGCTGAGTCATTCGCCCATGTGCGCCGACTCGACGCGGGAGTACTTGCTCGACCTAGAGTCACTTAATCCAGCCGAAACAGAGTGGAAATGGACCATTCACAGCACTGGGGCTTCTTCCGCCAACGACAAGCACGCCGAGGGCCGGATCGCCATGTACTCATCATCCGACCCGGCCGCTCTCCAAGAATTTGGTCGCTGGAAGCGCATTGTCACATACGCCCAGTGCCAGGCCGTTCTGGCATTGGGTCCACACGATGAGGGTGTGGAGTCCCTCCAAGGGCGCAACGTGTACCGAGCCTTTGAAGAAGTTGTCGACTTCGGGTCCGTATACCGTGGCGTGAAGTACATCGTGGGCCAGGAGAAAGGAGAGAGTGCAGGCATTGTTCATAAGCAACACTCCGGTGATACCTGGCTTGACGTCCCCAAGGCAGACTGCTACGGCCAAATTGCAGGCATGTACGTCAACCTGTTGACAGACATCCCCGCCAGCGACATGTTCGTTGCCACCGGCCTCGAGTTGGTGATGCGCTCGCCAAACGCCCAGACTGTGACGGATGGCCGGGAGAATGGCCCAAATGTCTGGCATGTCCTCGCTCGCCACGCACGTCAAGGTGAAAAGGCTTACGTGACCGATGTCTTTGTCTTTGATGCCTCAACGGGTGCTCTGGCGGAGGTCATCCTGGGCCTGCAATATGTCCGCGTCCCCAAGGCCACAATGAGCAAGATCCTGGCACGAGTGACGACGGACAAGTCGTTTGTGAGAAGCACCGCAACAGCGTCTCTGCCGTTGCCTGACCGATCTCAGCCTCGTGACGGGGCCATCGCTGCTACTGCCTCCAAGACGGCACCTCCCAAAGCAACCAAGGCAAACGTCAATAAGGCAAAACCTGTCAGTGGCACCCGGAATATCGCAAAGGAAGTTTGCAATGTGGTTGCCAACGTTTCCGGCATCGAGTCCAGCGAATTGAGCCTCGACAGCGAGATGGCCGACTTGGGTATTGATTCCCTGATGGCCATGGAAGTGGCGCGCGAGATGGAGAACACTTTCCATTGCACCCTCGACAGCACCGAAACAATGATCGCCACCACCATTCGCGACTTTGCTTCCTGCGTGTCGAATGCGTTGGCGAGATCTGGAGGTCAATACGGTGACTCGACCAGCACCGAGAGCGATTCTGTGCTCTCAGACTCTCAGGATGAAGACACCGACTCTGATATCTCGACTCCGGATGACGCCTCGGACATTACCAGCAAGAGTGAAGATCCGGTGAGTGATCCACTCCCCCAGCGATACAAAATGTTGATCGTGGCGATGTAGCAGCCCGTGAAGCAGAGGCCCTGCGTCTAGTTGAAGCCTACATAGCCGGTTGGGAGTCGCCGGCACTTGAAGACGCTAACGACTACACCGTCACCACTGGATCTGATGCTGGAGCTGTGGTGATCGTGACAGGTGCATCCGGCAGCCTGGGATCGCACATTGTTCAAGCCCTCGCCGAACGTTTCGATGTCGCAAGTGTCGTCTGCATCAACCGCGCGGTCAAGGACACGCCCCCCGAGAGCCGACAAGAAGAGGCGCTATCTTCCAGAGGCATAACACTGTCGCCGGCTGCCCGCAAAAAGCTGCAGGTATATGGAATTGACACTTCAAAAGCTCAGCTCGGTCTCTCGAACCAGGAGTACAACTGGCTGGCCCAGCACGGAACGCACATAATCCACAACGCGTGGCCCATGAGCGCTACACGGCCGCTCAAAGCTTTCGAGCCCCAGCTTCAGGTAATGCGGAACCTGTTGGATCTGGCGCACGACATGGCCCTCGGACATGAGCCGCGCAGGATCGGATTCCAATTTATCTCTTCGATCGGCGTGACGGGGTTTTCGAACGAGCCACACGTCCTCGAGGAGCCTATGGCAATGGCCGCGGCGATACCTAGCGGCTACAACGAGGCCAAGTGGGCGTGTGAGCGCATGTTGACCGACACGCTGCGCCGTTACCCGCAGCTTTTCCAGGCAATGGTGGCCCGGCCCGGCCAGATTTCTGGATCAACTGCAAGTGGCTTCTGGAACCCTGTCGAGCACTTTGCTTTTGTTGTGAAGAGTGCTTATGCACTGAAGGTCTTTCCTGATCTGCAGGGCATGCTACATTGGCTGCCCGTGGACATATCTGCCAGTGTCATGGTGGATCTGCTCAATATTGGCAGCGGCGAAGACTCAGGAGAGGTCTATCCGGTCTATCACGTCGATAACCCTGTTGGTCAGTCGTGGAAGGAAATGGTGACGGTTCTGGCGGCATCTCTGGATATCCCATCCCACGGCATCGTTCCCTTCAGGGAGTGGATCAAGCGAGTTCGTCAATCATCTCTGCCACCAGCGCAGAACCCAGCGTCCATGGGGCTGGGGTTCCTTGAGAGTCATTTTGAACGCATGGCTTGCGGTGGGATCGTGCTGGACACACAGCATTCAAAGGAGCACTCGGAAACCATGGCCGCTCAAGGGCCAGTGAGTGCTGAGGTGGTCCGATCGTATGTCTCGTCTTGGAAGACGATGGGGTTTCTTCATCATTAGAAGTGTACTTTGCGATTCTACATAGAGCACTGTTTATTATAGAATGTCAATAACAAGTACCCAGTACCCAGTCAAACCCAGTTTTAGGGGGGGATTTGGTGCCTGAATGCCTTATTTTGCACCGCTCTCCACACCGCTCTATACTTCGTATTGTAATTATTCTTACACAATATGAAGCTTTTCATCTCCATACAAATGGAGATATCTCCACTTTCTTGGACGGTTCGCAAGTCCATTTGTATGGAGATGAAAAGCTTCATTTTTGACACTTGTGAACGCCTCAGGCTACTTATTCAGGCATCTTAATTTTCTGCCGTTCTAAAATAAGGCATTCAGGCCAGAAACCTCCCTAAAACTGGGGTTTGAGTCTTTTGACCTCCTGAGCACTATAAGACTGGGTACTGAGTCATGACAAACAGCATGACTCGAGGAGATACTCCCCCAGTGTTGGTCGATAGGACGGACTATCATAACTCCAGCTAGCCCTAATGGAGTAACCACCCCCCGAGAAGAGGATATCAGACGTATAAACAGGACTCCCCGTGGACCTGAAGATCAAGAGCGAACCATTTCCTAGTACTGCATTTCAACAACATGAACAACGCAGTAACGATCCACCTACCACGCATCCTCTGCCTCCACGGCGGAGGCACTAACGCCGTGATCTTCCGGATGCAGTGCCGCGTGCTCGAAAAGCACCTTGGCCGTTCTTTTCGTCTCGTCTATGCACAGGCTCCATTCACCAGTACAGAACCCGGGCCAGATGTAACGTCGGTCTACAGAAACTATGGCCCTTTCAGAGTCTGGTTCTGTGATCACAACATGTCTAAAGTCCTGACATCCCGGGATGTCGCTATAGCGATCGACGCCAGTCTTACACTCGCCATGGCTGCCGACGACGCCAAGGGGGCTACGGGCGACTGGGTTGGCCTGTTGGGCTTCAGCCAGGGCGCGAAGGCGGCAGCTAGCATTCTTTACAGGCAGCAAAGGTGTGGAATTACCAACTTCCGGTTCTCGATTCTTTTTGCCGGTCGTGGACCTTTGGTGTGGCTCATGCCTGACCTCCCCCAGCCGCACGGTCTGGTCGACGCCGCTACACCGTTCACACACCCCTCTTCTCCCTGTCTCACTATGGGCTCTAACGAGCACATGTTGCAGCTGCCTACAGTGCATGTCCATGGATTAAGCGACCCTGGCCTGGAGAATCACCGAGACCTACTTCGGGATTACTGCGACCCGCTACAGGCCACACTGTTGGAGTGGGCAGGCGATCATCGCATGCCAATCAAGAGCAGAGATGTCGAGACAGTGGTCCAACAGATTCACCGAGTTGCAAGAGAGACAGAGACCCCGTCAGTAATGATGACTGGGAAAGGTTTCTATGGAAGATCGATCGAGAATGGCTTCTCGCTACAAACTTTGAGCATGTATATTTGAAATTTCTACGGGTGGCGTTAAAAGGGTTCATGGGACGATACCACAATATATTCTATACCACGACATATACCGCATGTCGGAGGGGTTTGCCACGATATTGTTGAGGCATTTGTGAATAGTAGGCTAGAAAGTGTGGAGAGAGTTGATTTCTATGGAGGCACGATCTGCCGACTATCTACTGAGATGTCGATGCGTGAGGCAATATAATTGAGGCCTAAGGCCACCATCACAACAGGTATACATTGTAAAGGAGTGATCACAAACACGACCGTACTTCCTTCCATTGACCAAGTGTCTCTGTCCTCTGCGGATGCATGTCAGACCGCGGAACAACATTAATCTGAATATCTTTGTTGAAGAAGTGAATAACGTCTCTCGTACTATCTTACCACCACTCAGCCCGGGGAAATGATGTTGAAGCGGACTTTCTATAGGGGCGAAAAGACAAGCTGGGGCCAAACACAGCAACTTGCTTCTCGCTTATGAAGGCCACAGTATCCCATAACGCAACAAGATCAATTTAAATCACAATGTACAGCTCATTAAACACCCTGGCGACCTCTTTCTGGCGTACAACAAGATACATAAGTCACCCAAAACGCTTCTCAAGACTCACCTACTCTCATTCTCCCAAAATGCCCTCCATCACCACCGACCAGTGGCTCGAAGCCGCCGCCTACCGTCGCAGTGTTCGTGCCTTGGGGGGAACCTCCAAGGTTTCGGATGAACGAGTTCATGAGATTGTCGCCAAAGTCCTTTCCTTTGCTCCCTCGTCTTACAATACTCAGCCCGTCCGCATCTCGCTTGCTTTCGGGAAGAAGCACGAGGAGCTCTGGAGCATCATCCTCAGAGAGTCTGAGCCGATCCTCAAGTCAATCAATCCAGGTCTCTGGCAGAAGTTGGGCCCCCTTTTCGAAGGCCATAAAGCTGCATATGGATCCGTATGTTACCACTTTGTCACTTGTCACTCAGACCATCTAACATGTGCAGGTACTCTTCTGGGAGCGCGGTGAGGCGACGAAAGAGGCTGCTGAGACGCACAAAGCAACCGGGCATATGTTTGGCGAATGGGGAGAGCATACTCAGGGCATCCACCAGATTCTTGTCTGGACTGCCTTGGAACTGGAGGGAGTCGGAGCCAATCTGCAGCACATGAACGCCATTCCACCCATCGAGGCTGCCATCAAGAGGTTCGCAGGGGTCCCTGAAGATTACAAACTCAAGGCCCACTTGAACTATGGCGATGAGCAGGCTCCTCGTCCCGAGAATCCGCCGAAACTGCCAATTACCGAGACGCTCACGATTCTGTGATCAGATTTAGATCTGGCTGAGGGGAGGCCTAATGACATGGCCTTGCAGGGTTACTAGATAGATAGCAATAGACTACGGTCTCTAATATCTGACTCTTTAGACCGCCCAGAGCACAGTGGGGATAGTGGATTTGACAAGTAAGCCTTTGCTAGTAAGCCTCTCACTTCGTAGTTAGACGAACGCGTTGCTATTCTAAGTGTCTACATATGTCTCCTTGGAAAGTCCCGGGCCACCTCATATATACCCATGTTGACTTAGTAGATACTTACGTCTTACTATATTAAAACCACGAACTCCGCTCTGCACATAAAAAAGGGAAGCAGAAAAAGGCTTGATCTAGACACTAAATATCCCCCAATGACCCAGAGGGAGGCCCTTCGGATGGTACTAGGACGTACTACCAATCTATTATACAGTATAGCTGCTCGTTGGGAAGATAAGATTCATGAGAAATTAATTCTGTTAGCTAGAGCGTTCTAATAGGCCAGCCACGGTGGCTCGTCGCGGCCCATGGCTAGTTAAATATGACTAAGGATAGACCTCAGCTACCTAACTAGCGAGTCAACGGGAGACAGTGTAACAACATCTCTACGAAGCCATGCGCTCCGCACGGCTCTGCAACGCCTTGACCATATCAATGCCGACCTGGGTAGCCTCGTCCAACTTCTCCTCCGGCAAGCCCAATAGCTCGTTCTGTGCCTTGTCAGAGTGGTTGCCGGCATCCTCCGGGAAGAAGGCTCGGGCGTAGAGCAGCTTAGCAAACCCAGCCATGTTGCCGGTCTTGACCAACCCCAGACCATCTGCGTATCGCTTGTGGGTATCCTCCTGGGTGATGGTCCAGTCGGCATCGGTGGTGCCAGTCACGCGCTTGACACTCTCAAACATCTCGTTCTGATTGACGACAAAGCTCTTGAGGTAGACGGGCTTGTTGAGCCAGCGAGAGAGAGTCAGAGTCTTGTCGTTTTCGTCATCCGGAAGCACCTTCAGGCTGAGCACAGTCGCAACAGCGCGCCCGACCTGGGCCAGAGTGGAGACGGAAGTCTTGGTGTTACCATCGCCGTAGATCGTCAATTCTTTCTTGTCAAAGTCGAATCCGAAGCGCGCCGACCCACCAGCCAAGCTGTAGTCGTACCAGAACCCACAGCAGACGGTGATCCACTGCATACCCAGCTTCTCGATCTCGTCTCGGCTGGCCTGGGCCACGGGTCCGAGCATAACATCCTGGCCGAACTTGACATGCTCAATGTCGCCGGCGTATCCGTTAGGCATGATGTAGGGGACGCCTGCCTTGGCGGCAGCCTGGACGAGCTTGCTGTGTGTGTCGCGGGGCGCAGTAGGGGCGACAGTGATAATGAAAAACTGTTGGCCCTTGAGGGCATCAACAATAGAGGCCTCATCGCTGTAGTCGACGGGGGCGACAATGACACCCTCAGGGAGTTTGTTGGAGCTGTCTTTGCGCGAGAGGGCAGTGACAGTGTGCTTCCCAGTTTTAAGGAGAGCGGCAGTGAGAACAGAGCCAACGGTACCTCCGGCCTAGTAAGTTTGTTAGCCTCATAGTCTCATTCTGTATTGTACTTGGGGAGGGTTACATACACCGACGATGGCCACTCTCTCAATGGCGTTGGTGGAGCCGGCGGGCTGATCCTTAGCGTATGCCATTTTGCTTGAGTGAGATGTGTTTGAATTGATCTGGAATGGATTGAAGGATTGAATATATCAAGAGTCAAGTGCAGCTGAATCTGATTAATTTATATTAATTCCGGCTTGTGATCTCCGCCGCAGCAGCCGCCGCAGCAGCCGCACTGCGGCCTGAAACTCCGCAACTCCGCAATCGCCGCGCTCAACATGGTAACTCCGCAATAACCGCACGATGTTCATCCCGAGCGGCGTTAAGTTGTTGAATGAAGGAACCCCATTTCCCCCAGTCTCAGATGGCCGAGTGTGGTCTAATCATGAATCGGAGACAGATTTGACTCGAGCACAGCCTCACGATCAAACATACTCCATCCTTTTCTAAAGCGAGTCTACTAGGACTCGCTCCCCAGGCTCGTGGTTGTCAAGAAACATCATTTCAGAGTGAAAATGACCTCTGAACAGCCATCACAAGCGCTACCCAGCGAACCTGAAGCCCCGAGTGAAGTTCCAGAAGACTGTGAAGACTGCGAAGACCGTCAGTACAGTGAAGATGATTCCAAAATCAAGCGTCCCAAGTCCCTCCCCAGGGAGGTCCTCTTTGTCGCCATCATCTGTTCCTCGCAGCTTCTCACTCAAGCCGGCCTTGCCCTCAGCATCGTCCCTCAACACATCATCGGACGCTCCTTTGGCATCGACAACCAACCTGGTAAGCTGAGCTGGTTCTCCTCTGGATACTCTCTCACTGTCGGCACCTTCATCCTCATCGCAGGCCGCTTCGGTGATGTCTTTGGGCACAAGCCGTTCTTCGTAGGCGGCTATGTCTGGTTTGCCTTGTGGTCTTGTCTCGCCGGTGTTGCTGCGTATAGCGGGCCCAGCTTCTTCATCTTTTGCCGTACCATGCAGGGAATCGGCCCGGCTTTCCTACTCCCCAACGCCATCGCTATTGTCAGTCGCTGCTACGACCCGGGCCTTCGTCAAAACATGATTTTCTGCCTGTTCGGGGCCACTGCTCCTGGCGGCTTTTTGCTTGGTGCCGTCTTCTCCAGCCTGCTCTCGCAGAGACTCTGGTGGCCTTGGTCGTATTGGGTCCTGTCCTTTACGTGCCTCTTGCTGGCTGTCTTGGGCTTCTGCGTACTTCCCGCAACCCCACCCCCCGAGAACCCCGGAGTCTGAAAACTCCAGTGTCTGGAAGCGCATCGATGTCGGGGGCTCCGTCACCGGTGTAGCCGCCCTCGTCCTTTTCAACTTTGCCTGGAACCAAGGCCCCGTGGTCGGCTGGACGACACCATATACCTACTCCATCATGATCATCGGCATCCTCGTCTTTATTGTCTTCGTCCTGATCGAGAAGAGAGTAAGCCACCCGCTGATTCCCTTCGGTGTCCTGCGCTTCGATTCCCTCTTCACACTAGCCTGCGTCAGCGCCGGCTGGTCCAGCTTTGGCATTTTCGTCTTCTACACGCTGAACCTCCTCGAGGTCCTCAGGGAGCAAACGCCCCTTCTCACATCTGCACAAATGACCCCCATCGCCATAAGCGGGATATTTGCTGCGGGCGCCACGGGCCTACTTCTCAACAACTTCCGCGAGTCGACAGTTATGCTGATCTCCATGACCTTTTTCCTCATCGGGGGTGTCATCTTCGCGACGATGCCTGTAGACCAGATCTACTGGGCGCAGACGTTCGTGGGGATCATTGTCCTTCCATGGGGAATGGATTCGTCGTTTCCTGCTGCCACGATTATCCTGAGTCGAGCTATGCCGCGCCAGCATCAGGGTCTGGCTGCGTCGCTGGTGACTACATTTGTCAACTATTCCATCTCCATTGGGCTTGGTTTTGCCGGTACTGTCGAGAGCCAGGTCAATGGCCAAGGGAATAATGTCTTGCAGGGCTACCGAGGGGCGTTTTATATGGGTGTTGGGCTCGCCGGGTTAGGTGTAGTTGTTGCCCTGCTTTTCTGTTTGGTGGAACGGTTCCATATCAAGTACGGGCGACGAGATATTGATGTGAAGCTAGGAGAAGAGAGAGAGAGCAATTGTATTGGTTGCTAACTGCTAAGAGAGAAGGGGAAAAGAAGAAGAGGGAGAGGAGACTGCAGTCCTGTCTCATAGGGCCATGTGCACCCTGTCACAGAGGGTCAGGTGACACCACCATAACAGATATGTCACTTTCACACAACTCTCTTATTGGATAATATTGCCAGCAGTAATTCGATCATCAAAAAGTTCAAATGCCTGATTTTGTAGGGTTAATGCCTGGATGTGCCTGAATTCTGTCTTATTTAGACTAGTATAACTAGATTAAGATACCCTGAAAATCTGTCTGTATTGCATCGTATGACAAGAAACCCGCTATTTCAACAATCTATAGTCACTACGCGAAAGTGTTAACACAGGTTCTGCCAGCTGGTTATCCACCAACAAAACTAAGGGGTGAATGGCGTTATGTCAAATAAAGGAGGCGGTATGATTAATCGGAAAGGCGGTAGCAATTTTGCGGAGTCCACTGTATCTACCTAGGTACCTAGGTATGGACCTCGGGATGGATCCATGGATGCGGATATCGATGACTAAAATAACTACATAACTACCTACCTAGGTAATGTAGTAATGGTACAGAACAAATAGAGGAATTGAATTACAACAATACAAATTGAAATTAACCCGAATGCTTTGAGGGGGCGGTGAGAAACCGCGGCCAGTCAGTATCAAGATAGAAAGGGTGCAAGAAAAGACCGATTCGCAGGAAATGCTGGTTTAGATCTCATTAATACAATAATGTTTCATTATATTCCTTGAAGTGTGACTTCTACTGTTAATTTACATCTGCATGTCGGGAAACATCGACAAATCTGGCTCCACGAGAAACTGGTCCCAGTCCACCCCCCAGCCAACAAGATCTGGCACAGCGGTGTTGGGCTCGGGTTCCGGTGTTTGAAAGGCTTCGTATCCTGCCTCGACAGCTTCCAGCTGCAAAAGTTCCTTTCGTTTCTTCGCTATATTAAGACTGAGAAGATGTCGTGCTATAGAGAGTGCCTGTCGGGTGAGTGTTGTATCCGTTGCCCTGGCAAGATTCTCTAGCGTCTTAAAAGCAGTAGGAATGTGAGCGGATGAGGCTGGAGTGTCGATGGCCAATAAGATACAAGCATATTGGAAAACACTGCCGATAACATTCCATAGTAGACGGCCTTGGCTAGCGAGCTGCTCAGCTGCCTCTAGTCCATCCCTACCGATATCGATGACAACCTGGATGGTTTCATCCGCGATGCCTGCGTTGAACTGGTAGATACGTCGATAGAAACAGAATGCGAGGTCCGCCTTGGTGGCGACCAAGAACGGATGCGTGAAACGTAGTTTGTTCAATGCCGTAAGACGCTCGGAGAGCTCCTCCCTTGGAGATAGAGGCTGGGAGTCAAGTTGGAACGGAGAGTTCGGCGACGGGATAATCTGGATGATTTTTACGAACTGGTCAGCAATAGATCCTGGGATCGTACTGATCGCCTGCGTAGTCACGGCTGTAAATATTACTGCCGACCGATCGCACTCGTAGGACAGCATCTGGTGTCCGGCCCATAGGATCCAGAAGATACGCCTCAGCCGGTCCGCATCATGGCCAAGAGTAGTAGCGGCACCAGCGACGGACGCTATGCGTTGGATGTTTTCTTCTTTATGCAGCCCGACGACTTCGCAATGGTGCATAAGAGTACAGGAGGCGACCCAGGCACTACTAGACCGCCGGGTTGTGGCTCGGAGATAGAATAACCGCATGCCCCACGCGATGATATGATCGACGCTCAGTATCCGCATCGAGGCCGGATCATCGAGAATAGCTTTCGCGTACTGCAGTAGTTCCGACTCGCGGGAGTACCTGACTGAAGAGAGGAAGGATCCGACTGCAGCAATACCAGCGGCTATAGCACCAAAGGCGACCGGCGGACTGCCGGGCCCATGATAATACTCGTAACAGCGCTGAGCATAGATCCCAGGGTCAATAACATCTCCAATGGAGCCCATTGCAGAGAAGTACACGCCCGAGTAGAAGGCGAGGTTATCCTCGGAGATCAGGTTGCCCAGCAAACCATACGCGTTGGAAGCTTCTTCTGGGCGGATGCCAAAGTTGTACGCCGTTGAATTGATCTTGGGAGGGTTGTTAGACCCGAGAGCCAGGCCTAATATATGCGGGAAGGCCATGGCTGCCGATGCGCCGGTGTACCTGGACTTTTGCTCCTCGAAGATGCCGGGGCTCTTGCCAGTGGACGGGCTGCCTTCATTTTCCACGGGGGGTTGGATCTGCATGTTACGTCCCTCGAGAACAGCGAGCTTGGCCACTGGGGGATCTGCAGTCCCGGTGATGTCGTCGTCGTACCTGCATTTATACTGGTAGGTGGAGCACGTTCCACACGGATACTCGCCATCGCATTTTCGCTTGCGCTGGTGGCACGGATTGCAAGCTTTTCGAGCACGCTTGCGCTTGTTTGTGGGCATATTGATAGAGGACCTATGTAGTAGAGATTCAGATGAAGAAACAATACGTGTAGATTCTCATGAAGTAGAGTGGACAGACGAGAGAAAATGAGAGAGAGAGAAGGGGACAAACTAACAAACTATCTAGTTAGTACTATATGCGACGTGCGTGTCCCATATGGGGCTTGCTGCCTGAGGCATAATCAGGCACCTAACAGTCTAGTATCAAGTGTTTCATCTTCATCCAAAAGAACTCAAAGTTCAGGAGCTACCTACCTAGGTATCAGCCACGTGACTAAGTCACGTTATGATAACAAGCCATAGACTTATTTCCAAGGTTCCAGGCTTAGGGTACCTTTTATATTCATGACGTCAAGAATGCCAACACTCCTACAACTTCTCAACGATCCTTCCCAAGGCTACAACCTCGACGTTTCACGATTTTCGTTTCCTCTTTCCCACCTTTCTTCACTATGTCTTGTCCAAATTCATCGCCTCACCAACCTGGTTCCTCCACGTCCTATCTTCCGGAAGCTAACTACGATGAAAATAAACAAATCATTACTCCCCATCCAAGTCTCCGCTGCGAACATTCCAACTACCGTCCGTGTTTACTCAATCATCCAAAGCCTCATCCAGCCTGGCCAAATTGATTATCCTGATCTACTCGTCATTACCCAGCTAAAGCTAAATGTCGGTATGCAACTATGGCAGAAATTTGAACACCTTGAATCACCAGCACTCCGAAAGTCCTTTAATCCTAACACTAGAAACTTGACGATCAAAATGCCTACACCGATACATAATTGTGCCCTGACTTGGTTCTAAGACGCACGAGACAAGTGGATAGAAGCCGGGCTTCTGACCACGGCCGAGAAACGAGTGATGAAAGCCTAAGTGGCGGATAGGATTACCCTCACACGGGGCGTTTATGCTAATTCTAATTCTCGGAAAGAACCAGATGTGCGGGCGACTAAGTATGCCACTGGCATATAACTCTGTCATTGGGTATTGTATTACCTACAACAGTCTACACTACAAAGATTCACCCACCCCTAAACTAGCGACCAACAGATCTGCCAATCCAGTTCAAATTCAGTTCAAATTCAGTTCAGATTCAGTGCAGATTCTTACGAATGCTCACCACCTAATGAGCAAATCATATCATCCATTCATCGATGCATAAAATTCCGCATGTGCGCATCTATCAATCGTCGAATAAAGTGTGGGCCAGTTCACTACATGAGAAACAGATAATCGGATAACAGGAGTTGAGAGTGTACGTTACGTACAATCGCCTAAACCGGAACCCTTATGCTCTCTAATGAGGCAGGCGGCTGGAATGAATGTATAAACACCATTGGTCTCTGCTTTATACAGTCCTCGATGATAATAAATTATTAGACTAAGCCACCAATGAAATAGCCTTCTCAAGCACATTCCGGTCATTCTGAAAGCTCAATTTCTGCACCGCTTCCTCCAACGGAAAGAACGTGGGCGTAAACTCCTCCTCCCCCTCCTCAGACCCAACAACAACCCCCTCGTCCAATGCAGCAATATACCACCAGATAATCTTCACATCATTCCCCTTCTCCCTGCCCAGCTGCCGCATAATAACCATAAACGGCTCCGTCAGATCAGCGTACGAGCGAGGCGTGTCGGGCATGTGGCCCTGTTCATCAACGGGAGGGGCACGTGTATTCATCGTGACGGGGTGCAGATGAGCTTTGTACCCTGTTTCTTCTCTTGCTTCGCGCAGGGCGGCTTCATGACGTGACTCTCCGCAGTTGCGGCGGCCTTTTGCGATCATCCATTCGTTCTTTGCCCGGTAGTGGATGAGGCAGACGGTTTTCTTTGAGAGGTTGGTGAGGTCGAAGACAATTGCGCCGCAGCTTTCGACGAATTGTTCTGAAGTGCATTGGGTGGTTGCGTTCGGTGAGGTTCCCATGGTGGATAGCTACAGGTTGGTTGGTATAGTTGGAGCAATAAAAGAGATGATAGTCACGGTGATGTATTTATTGGGGTGGGAAGATGCTAAATTCATAGTGGCGATGTAAATTTAGTTGCAACGTACCATCCAAACTTTGCAAACAGAAAGTAATAGACCCCAAGTGTCGATGCTGTTTTCACAGTAAAGCTAAGCTTCAAGATTGATTCTTCCATACAACATAGATTTATGACGAATGGGGTGGGGAATATATTTTCAAACTCTTCATATAATTGGACCATCGATACATTCACCCCGCACCAGAAGTTCTTAAGCCAAAATCTGACTATTTCGAAGATTTGTCTTTGTTTCTACAACTTTGAAACTCCAAAACTATATCATGGCAAAGGTTCGGTTTTCGTGAAGTCTTAAAAGTTTCTTTTGATTCTGAACACTAATATTTATCTAGTCAGTAACGATTACATTTGAGGATATAGATTCGTGGCAAAGTAAGAGAGAAAATGTCGATAGGTAAATGAAAGTCAAACTGAAAGGTGGAATAGTGCAGCTGACATACCTGAAGCATTTTGGACAAACACACTGGAACCTCGGTGTATCCTTCCACCAGATCTCTGCCCCCTATCATATTTGGTGTAGAGTATGTGTGTTCTCCGTTATTTCGAAAGGATTATCTGACATGGACTATACAGACTCGATGAAGACGCCGTCGAGGAGTTGAGAAACTTGGGTGGAGTACTGGTGCACTATCCAGACGGAGAGGAAGATTAGAGTCTATTACTCATTTAAAATAGGCTGCTGGTCATGTAGCTGAACAAAAAACACATTTGCTACGCTGTCGATCTTGCGAGGCTGCCAGCCTTTTTCTCTTGAACATAGACACCTCTGATTGGCTAGTTCGTTCTGTATGGGACACACCGCAGTTGCGATGTTCATCTATGTTGTATTCTCATTTTCGGCTTACCCACAAGGTATTGGAAAGATTCTATCTTATATTCTGCAATCCACTACAGAGATAGGGGAAATGCAAAGTTTTGTTCAATATTGGTCACTGGACCTATGTTGTAGATCGCACTATTAATTGGATGTATCTTATGAGAGAGATGATGTCTGGTAATAATATGTTGATTCTGTGAATTAAAAATGTCCATTCTTCTCGCCATATAGAACAACTTTATTGAACCGACCTTTAGTCGGTTTGACAAGTTGATGCTAAGAACATATCGATGGGTTCTCTGAATGCATCCCCTTCAAAACTGATCCGCTTGGGTTCGGCGTCTGGTCTCGGCTTTTGACATCTAGTCGGCGAGGCAGTGGATGTATTCGGCGAACTTGGCATGAGACCTCATACCCCAAAATAAATATTGAAACCATATGGGTGATATAAATTCATCCGTAGAAGCACTACTGTTGTTTGATTTAGACCACTTCTTCCCCTGTGACCAGAAGATATTGACACAAGCCCACCAAAATGCAACCAATCATTTTATACTCCCACGATATCGGCCCGAATCCCTGGAAAGTAGCAATTATCCTTTCAGCCCTGGGACTCGAATACAAGACTGTTTTTGTCAGCTTCGATGAAGTCAAACTTCCCCCTTTCACCGATATCAACCCGAACGGCCGTCTCCCAGCCATCATCGACCCAAACCAAAAGATCACGCTGTGGGAATCCGGCGCTATCGTCGAATATCTCATCGACATGTACGATGTCTCACACAAACTGAGCTACGAAACCCTCCCCGAAAAATACCACACCCAGCAATGGCTCCATTTCCAGATGTCCGGCCAGGGTCCTTACTATGGCCAACTGTTCTGGTTCAAACAGCAGCCTACGCCTGAGTCTGTTGCTATCAAGCGGTACGCCAATGAAATTAGACGGGTAACCGGTGTTTTGGAGAAAGCACTGGAAGGTCGGGACTGGCTTGTTGGGGACAAATGTACTTATGCAGACTTGTGCATGGTACCTTGGCAGGATCTGGTGCCTATGTACTATGCAGAGGAGGTTGGAGATATCCTGCGCGACTTCCCTGGTGTTAGTGCTTGGATGGGAAGAATGAAGGAAAGAGAGGATGTGCAGAAGGTTCTGCGCGAGAAGAGCGAGGCTATGGAGAAGATGGCGGCCCAGAAATAGAATGTCGGGTTTTATAGAAGGCTGATGGAAAAGCTTCACCGATTTGAATATCATCCTCAGACTTTGCCGCAAACAAAATACGGTACATAATATTGTAGACCGACCGCTTCTCTCAGAAGGCTATATACGAGTTAACAGTCAATAAGTTGAGCGTAGTATCATAGGCCAACCCTCGATCATACTGACCTCCACCAATGCAAGAAGCAACCTGGAACCACCAGCTCCCCTTCCCAGATCCCAGCAGTTGTAAAATCCCATATTCAGGATACTACCCAGCAAACTTCCAACCAAGAAACCCCGATTAATGACCATTATCCCGACAAGAATATTATGAGCCTTAAAAGCCACCATGAGTAAAAGTGATTCGGTGAGGATATTCCCAGATTACATTTACATTATCCCAAGGCTGGACATATTCCGCAGTCCAATCGAAGTATCGAAGTCATATCTAGACGCAGGACTCAAGAGATAATCATTACAAAAGGGGCTATAAGTCTTCGTACCCGCAACGAGTGGAGCCAATGACCCACTAATCGGCGAACTTGGCATTGCAACGTCAGCAAGAACGCCCCTGTTGCTAATCTCCTCAGACCCAAGATTCCAAGCTGTATCCATCTTTATAAGCGAATGCCTCCTGGGGTCCTTCAGCATCAATCTCATAACCATATACACAACGATCAAAGGAAACCTTGGGTTGTGAATGATAAAAAGAGTTAAACTTCGGGTCCAATGCACCCTTTAGACTCGTAACCGAGCCATCCGGATGTAGAGTACCCCATGGCTTGACACATTCGGAGCCTCTACATGACTTCAACACCATGAGAAGTGCATCAAGTCTTGGGACGACCTCCGACATCGCATAACCAAGTACTTCAATCTCCTCAAGATCCTTCTTCCACAGGTTATTTACCTGGTAAGGATCCGCCTTTGGATGTTTGTCAGCCGAATTCAAAGGAATAGTTTCATAGAAGACTTACGGTTAAGTCATAGAGCTCATGCTCATTGTTGCACCACACTGAAAAGAAGAGGTTGTACTCATCTGCAAGGACACGAACAGCCTTATAGGTATTATTGGGCACAGTGGGAACACCTTTTAGAATTAATATCAATCATTCAAGCTTGCAAAGTTAATGAAACCTATAGCCTAGGACATACCGAGATTTGATAGGCCTCCTTCGAGCATTCCACGTCCCCAGAACTCAACTGTAACATGCTCATGGGCCTCTTCATTGGGTTTGGAGGTTGGCATAGGAGTACCATCAAAGTCGGATCTTAGGGGGAGACCGGCGAGCTCGAACAGAGTTGGGGCGATATCGATATGTGTAGTAATAGTTTCGTCGATATGGTTCTCTAGAATTCCAGGCCCACGGATCATAAAAGGAACCCGGATATCTTCCTCAAAACCGCAGGTCTTTCCTGGAGGCAACCTATGCTGGGAAATGTGGAATCCGTTGTCCGAGGTGTAGATAATGAAGGTATTGTTAATCTTTCCTGATTGCTCAAGACGTGTGATCAGATTATCAACTAGTTCATCAACGCCTTGAAGTGCTCGAAGCCGTTGGCGATAGTAGTGGTCATTGTAGTCCACTACAGACTGGTTTCGATACGGAAGATCGTGAATCCAGCTCACACCAGTTGGCTATGGCTATGGTTAACTTGTTACAATAGAAAAGGTCATTGCAGCATAAAGGCTTAGAGAACTTACCTCTTTTGGGTTGAAGTTAGCGGTTCGAGGAACCTTCGCATCCGGGAAAAGATGTTTATGGCGTTCTTCTGGGATAGGTTCATCCATCCATAGGGGTCCAGCGCCACCTCCGTACGTTCCATTCATATTCGAGTGAGGAGCAATGGGTGTGACAGTAAGAAAAAAGGGTCGTTCTCCAGCCAAAGCATCGTTCAAAAAGCCTAATGACTTCTCCCGCAGAACCTCTGTGGTATGACGACCTAGGTAACTGACAGGTTGATCATGATTCCGCTGATAGGTTGCATTCATATAGTCATAGGTATAGGGGTCCAAGACAAAGTCAGAACCATTGAAGCCAGCAGCGTGTGGTTTGTTGTAGTATTCCAATGAGTGCGAATTCATCAATTTGCCCGTGTAATATGTATCATATCCTGCTTGTTGCAGCCAGACCGGTAGATAGTTATCATTGAACCCCTGAGCAATGAACTTTGGATATCCGCCTTGATGGGATGTCAGTAAGAGAGATCATGTTCAAAGGTTTGAAGACTTACCCCACGGTGGATTCACATCCGTGACATTGGTATTGTGTGACAGACGACCAGTGAGCAAGCTGACACGAGATGGGCAACACAAGGCCGTTGTAATAAAATGATTGGAAAAAGTGGTACCCTTTTTCGCCATGTGCTTCATGGTCAACGGTGTATAACTCAGCGAGTTGAGCTTGAGATCTTGATCATCTGTCATGATGAAGAGAAAGTTGGGCTTTGTCACAACATTGGAATCGGTTGATGCAAGCGCACTCGCATCTTCAAGAGAGTCATTTGCTACCGAAGTGGCCAGCAACAGGCCGAAGCTCACAATATATTCAAACCTCATACTCGCGTTTCCCTCCGGCTGTCTCTATTAAGAAATATCACCACATCCTGCTGTCCTTTGCTAGGCAATTTATACCTTTTCTGATCCCTTAATCTTACCCATCGTGATCAAAGGATTTCAGAGATGTGGATATACAATGAGCAATTTACACGATGATTACTCCGTACAACACTCTAACTACTGAAAGTGAGGTCCCCTTCCCGAGGAAGAATAGTCCAGAGTCGACGCCCAGACTTCTCTTTTGGCCCTTGGAAACTCTGTTTAATTGCCCTTTGTGGAAGTAAGTATATTCCTCTGGGCATCATTCTATATTCTGTGGAGTTTTGGCTTCTCGTATTCACTAGGGCCCCACAACTTCGGCGAGGTCTCAGTGAGAAGGATCGGCCTATATCTGTTCGTCTGCCTTTGTTGATGAGTCAACAGTTTACGCAACTGCCATCCTGCTTTCGAGAATGACATCGTAGACATAGGGAAATTGATTGAAATGACCAACCTCATCCAATTTGTACAAAACACCTCTCGAGTGTATTTCCCAACTGAAGAGTTTATTAGAATGTCGCAGTTTGAACTACGCTACTCTTGGATTTCGAGATATTCATGGCGAACCGATCCTGCAGACCATGTAGCTTTGAAGGTTTCACGTGTATTTCTGTCTTAGATGTTCGCAAGATGCTATGGTGGCTTTACTAGAGTCTGTAATTACGCTGATGTAGCCGATAGTAAGCTCCCTAGAAACATTAACCCGTCTAGACTATGTTGAGCTTTAACTTGCGCACAATATCCCTCACACTAGTACCAACGAAGAAAGTGTAAGTACCAGTATCAAGGCGCCAGGTTCCAGCCTTCACGTCGTACCACCGGAATTCTTCATTTCTGACAACAATGCTCGCATCTCTAGACTCCCCGGCTGGGACCCACATTTTAGTGAATCCAACTAAAGTCTTTGGGAAACTCTGAAGGCCATTTTCACGGATGGACTCAGATGGTGAGGCGTATACCTGGACGACTTCATGTCCACCGAACCTGCCCGTGTTGCTGACAGTGGTCTGAACAGTAACATCAGATATGGAGGAGGCGGACAATATACCCTTGATGTGGATATTGGACAACTCAAACGTAGTATAAGACAGTCCAAAGCCGAAGGGCCAGAGTGGCTCAATATTGTGCTCATCGAACGACCTATACCCCATCAAAACCCCTTCGCCAAAAACGGTGCGGTCCTGCGCTGCCTCAGCAGGGAACCATTGACTAGAGCCATGATCGGCCAGTTTCTTCGGAAATGTAATAGGGGTCTTGCCGGAGAAATTGCAATGGCCCAGCAGTGCGTTTGCTAAGGCATGTCCGTTCTCCTGGCCCTGGTACCAGCCTAATACAATTGTACCGGCCTTGTCTGCCCAAGGCATAGTGACTGCACTACCTGCTTGTACAACGACGATAGTGGAAGGATTGGCGGCACAAACAGAAGAGACGAGCTCGTTGGTGCGGCCTGGCAATTCCATGTCTGCTCGGTCGCCGCCTTCTCCTTCAGAGTCCTTGTTATGACCCACGATGAGGATGGCCACGTCGGACTCGCGGGCAGATTGCACAGCACGATCTAGCATAACATCCTCATCCTCGTTGAGGCTAAGACCGAGCCGAAGACCAGATACTGCCGGGAAGAGGGTATTGTCAAAAGACTCCACAAGCGGCAAGGTGACAACATTGTCTACCTGCAAGGAATAGGTGCACCCTACATCCAAGCGTAGAGACACCGTTTTATCCTCACTTGAGCAGCCGAGGAAGCCACCAGTCGTGGTTGTCCACTCAGTATTGTCAATAAGGAGCTGACCATCGATAAACAGCTTGGCCTTGCCTGTGTTCGCAATACTGAGAGTATATTGACCAGATACCTTGGGAGTGACGACTCCAGTAACTCTGTAACAGTATGGCTTGCCCTTAAGAGATAATGGCACATCTCCGTCACTCATCATATAAAGTAGAGAGTTGACCCAGAATGTAGTAGCGACCACGGGGCCTTGGAACTCGTGCCCTGCGAAAAACTCCACCTGCACTCCCTGCTTCTGCTTTGAATCCTCAGGGACAAGAAGCGCATCACCGAATAGAGGTGGACGCAGGGTAAAAGGTATTCCCTGATCGTACGAGACTCGAATCCCTGGGTGAACTTCATGAAGGGCTTCTGTCAGACACTCCTCCGGTGTTGTGATGTAGAATGGGTTGACGGCGGCACTGCCGGAGCCACCCGCCGTTGGCTTGCGGGCATTAGGACCCAAAATAGCAACTTTGCTCAGAGCTAAAGGACGGAGCGGCAGCAGATTCTCATTCTTCAACAGAACCAACCCGCTCTCGGCGGCTTCTCGTACTGTCTTGTGAAATGCCTTATTATCAGATGGTTGTTCATGTGCTCGTTTTTCCTGTTCTGGAGGTTCGAGCTCTCCATTTAACCGTTCCAGAGAAGGAAGTAGAGCAGCTCGTTCGAGCAACTGCAAAGTACGTCGTACGCTGGTGTCTAAATGCTTCGTTTCATCCACCTGTCCATCTCGCATAGCAGAGAGCAAAAGTTCCCCCCGACGAATGGGTGGACCTGGCATTTCGAGATCTGTCCCGGCAATAAGACTCTCCGCAGTGCTGTTGCAGCCTCCCCAGTCACTCATGACAAGTCTATCAAACTGCATTTCTTCACGCAGGAGTTTCTGAAGGACGAAAGAGCTCATGTCGGCGTGGATACCATTGACCTTTGGATAGCTGACCATTGCTGTCCACGGAGCGGCTTCAAGAACCATAGTGAATGGCTTCATGTACACCTCCCGCAGGGTACGTTCATCGATAGTCTGATCGACGTTGAAACGCCGGGTCTCAGTATCGTTGAGAATGAAGTGCTTCATGCAGGCACCGACACCTTCATTCTGGATACCGCGGATTATTGCATTGGAAATCGTGCCAATGAGGAAAGGATCCTCTCCGTAGCTTTCAAAGTTCCGGCCACCGAGTGGTGAGCGGGAGAAATTCATTGTTGGGGCCAGAAGGACATGGCAGCCCTTGCGTCTTGTCTCCTCGCCGAGGACATTGCCAACTTTCTCGACTATCGACGGATCGAAAGTAGCAGCAAGTGATATGGCAGAAGGAATAAAAGTAGTAAGGGAACCGTAGTTCCACTTCGTGCCGCGAGCACCTGCAGGGCCATCGGTTGTTTGAAGAGGTTGAATACCCAATCGTTCAATCCCTGCAGTCTGCCACATATTTTGGCCGGCAACTAAAGATACCTTCTCTTCAAGAGTAAAAATTTGGAGAAGCTTCTCCACGACTGGACTGACAGGTTCAGAAGCCATTATCTTGATCTATTCGGTATGAAAGAAAAGGATGGAGCGAATGGTGCAGAAAGTATTCGTGAAAACCTAGCAAGCAATATAGTCATTCCCAGGATGGAAACAGAGTGACTCACTGGTACTTTTCATATTAGACAACGCCGGCTCTACTTCCTTTTTTTTCGTGAAGTTAGGTTTACGGGCTTCGGCGACATAGTGGAGACGTTCAGATACCACTCGCCGAAGTAGCGGGGCCTCTCTTTGTTGACGAATGCAAGTTCTTTTTCAACTTTTCTTTCCAATAATTCTTGGACCTCGTGTCTGTCCCCATCATTTCCCCGGTCAATGCCGGACTGGAGAAACCCCAACATTCTCTCCAGTTTCCGGTCAATCCTGGTAGGCACGCCGCAGCTGTGGGGCCCCGGTATAAAATTCGGGGAAACGGGGATACACGGGCCCATGTATAAGTGATCCTACGCGCGAATGAGTGTCAGCCAAGATCACCTTCCTGGTTTGAATCTCACCAATCTAGGGCTCCTAGAGGATCTGACATGCAGTGGCGTTCGGCTAAGAGGCCTTGGTTCAAGCCAGTGAGATATTTTCTCGTGGATTTGCCAAAAGATGGTCTAAGAGTTTCATTCAAATCAGGTAGAACACTAGTCTGGCCCAATGAATAGGAGTAGTCCCGGAGACATTCGCTACAATTGCCCTTTCCATTTCTCAGTAAGCCGGGCCCCTCAATCCACCCCGTAACTTCGTGATAGTGGATTCGAATCCCCCAAAGTAATAGAAAAGCTGAGCCCCGACAGAATTACCAAAATGGAAATGTTCAAAAGGGCCCAATATCACCGGAAGCCCAAGACCTGACTTTCACGCCGAAAGTCTCATACTATCAATTTCATCCTTTCCAATCAACAACTTGTCCCTTTTTCTCTTATCATGACTCGAGAAGAAATGGGTGGCTCCGTTCGGAGTCTACCATGGCTCATCTGGGTTGTGGTCATCTTTGGGTCAATCTCTTCCGCTGGATTTGGATTTGACCAAGGATGGTGGGCAGCCCTAATGAGCTCTTCTCAATTCGTTCAAAACTTCGGATCTCTCGACCCTGTCACAAAGGAATGGGCCCTTTCCTCCCAACAGCAGTCATTGGGGACTGGTCTTGGATATGTTGGTGTTATCATTGGAGTCTTTGGTGGCTCACCGATCAATGAACGCCTTGGAAGAAAGAATGCCCTGTGGATCCAAAGTGCCGTGGTGACAATTGGCATTATCATAGAATCCACTGCTCAGAGGAGCTACATCCAATTTCTCATTGGTAAGCTCCTCGTCTACTTGGGTGGTGGAATTGCAACCAGTGTCATCCCTGCCTATCAAGGAGAATGTGCCCCGAAATCCATGCGTGGTTTGATGGCTGGAACATATAACGCTTTTCTGATGGTGGGTGGGTTTTTTGCCGCACTCATCGTCTATCTATGCCAGCATATTCCTAGTAACTGGGCCTGGCGAGTGGTTGTGGTTGCCCAAATCGCTATCCCGGCTGCTAGCTGGGCTAGTCTGCCATTTCTGCCTGAGTCACCATACTGGCTTGTTTCTCGCGGCAGATTAGACGAAGCAGTCACTTCCCTTCGAAAGCTGCGAGGTGCCTCTTTCCCTGCAGAGGCTGAGGTTGCTAGTATGCAACAGTTGCTAGAGGAGCAACGCGAACGGCAGACCAACGCAACATGGGCTATCTGCTTCACAGATTCGGTTAATCGCCGGCGCACAATAATCTCTGTTGGATCTCAGATCTTTTCGCAGGCGCAAGGCATATCGTTTGTTGCCAATTACCAGGCGGTCTTTCTCCGGGAAATTGGATTCAAGGAGGTTCTTTTGATGTCAGTAGTGGTTTATGTTATCGGCATAGTGGCCAACCTGGTATTCATGGCCACTACCGACCGCTTCGGCCGGCGTAACGTGCTGTTATACTCTTCTGCAATGCTGGGAGCCTGTATGATTACAATTGGCGGGCTGACAGCGAATGGACCTGACAGCATGTCATATGAGATGCAAGTCGGAGCTGTTGTGGTGCTGATGCTATGGTTTTTTTCCTTTCAAGTCACTTGGGGACCCTTGGCATGGGTACTGACAGCTGAAATTCCACCCGCCCAGGTGAGAGAGAAAACAGTGGCGCTATCCGGACTGGGTGCCTATCTAACTGGCCTGGTTATCGTGTTTGTAAACCCTTTCACCCAAGCTGACATTGGTGGCCGAGTTGCGTTTGTCTACGGAGCCTTTTCCGTTCTTGCCTTCCTGTTTGCTTTATTTTTTGTGCCAGAGGTGAGACAGCGTTCGCTGGAGCAGATTGATGAGATGTTCCTTGATAAGGTGCCAACACGGGCATTCAAGTCTCACGTTTGTCGGATTCCTGGTGATCTCGCTATCATGAAAGGAGAAGGAGAAGAATTTGTGGAAAATGCTTAGGCATACTGTGGTTGACTGAACATATTTGGCATGCACTGTGTATTTAAATAGCGCATTCGCATTCGATACGAATGGCCAATGTCTGTATTGCCACGAATGTGGAAAATACGTATGCAGTGTTCTTCTGAGAAAGGCACTTGAACAAGCTTAATTCAAACGGATTGAATCCTGAGCGCAAAGAAATATAGAATTTGCAATATCAACAGCAGTTTGACCTGCATCTAGCCATATCTTCCAAAACATCTGCCTCTCTGATAGCCGAAAGCCGGCAAAAGCATGATGCAACAATATTGATGTCTGCAGAAGCCAAAGCAATATCTCTTTGAACTCGGATAGTCTTGGCTTCCTCGCGCTTGCCTCCTCTGACTAGACATTCATGAAGACCATGTAGACCCCAGACATTATTCAACCTTGCCTGACGTCTAGGGAGACGGCCCCCCATGCCTAGATCTTCTCGATACACGAGCTCTGCTTTCTCCAAATGGCCTTGCTCTAGAAGTAAAGCACCCAATGCATGCCGAGTTGGCTGCATCCATGGCGGTGGGTCTGCATACGGCAGTGCATCTTCCAAGGCGGTGGCCTCTCGCAGACTCTGGAATGAGGATTCATGATCACCTTCTCGGTACTGAATTTCTCCTCGGAGCATAGCAGATGCAACTTGGAGTACATCAGCCTCGACTGCCGGTAAGCTGTTAAGGCGCGTTCTCGGTACAAGAATCCTAGCAGCTTCAAATTTGCTTTGTTCCGATTTTGCTTCCTCAACATGACCAAGTACCGCTAGGGCAATTCCACGACCATAGTAAACCATTGCTGTGGTGGAACAGTACAGCTTGGTGTTCTCTGGAATGGATACTTTCTCAAGGATGTCCTGCCACTTTCCAAAGCGGACCATGGCATGAATAGTTGCGCCAAGATAGCTTTCGGTCCAATCTGCCATTGGGGGACTGGATATCGCAAGAAGTTCAGGTGTCAGAATTTCAAACAGGCGGCTTGCAGACAAAAGGGCTTCCTGTGAGCGGCCAGACATCAACGCACTATATAGCTTCACATAGACGTTGTGTGCACGATACATAGCATAGAGGGCGGAGCCATCCGCACGAGAAAAGTACTTGTCATCAGCGAGCATTGCCTGGTGATTTGAGTCAACCGCTCTGCGGTAATCACCGCAAGCAATATCAATGTGTGTTGGCATGTGCTGTAAATGGGATGCATCTCGGGCCAGTAAGCGCAGCCGGTCCGCGGCAGGTAGGGCGATTTCCGGGTATGGTGACATTTCCATTAAGTGGATGTAGAGGTGGCACAGTGCAGGATGATTATCTCCCCCGGGGGTTTTCACGGCCCTTTCGATGATTACACGTGCTCGCTCTGTATGAGGGCCACTGGGCTGACCTGTTTCAAGGTTCCACAGACCACGCGGACTGATACACATCAACGCTTCTGCGCAGAGCGCGGCAACATCTAGGTGAGATGAAAATCTGTCGTAAACGGCAAACATAGCTTGGGCATATGCATGATCCAGCAAGCTGAGCTCATCTGGACATGTCTTATCTAGAAAAGTATCACGGGTTGGAAACCGGGGTTTGAGAGCATTGATCAGAGCTGCTTCAGGTGGGCTGACCTCTGAGGCGAGCTCCATCGCCTTCCGTAGGAAAGGCTCCACGGAAGTGATGGTCTTCTCTAGGTCGACAGCATCAAAGCGAATCCAGGCTTTGTTGTAGTTGGGTCCCTTTGCGTAGCAAAAGCCCCAATATGCCATCGCACAGCCTTCGTCGAAAGCGATTGCCTTCATAAAACAACGAGCCGCTTCTTCGTGGTTGAAGCCCTGTGCCCACCTGTACCCGCGATCAAACCAGGTCTGACAATCAGAGGAGCTGGTTGTCACAGGAAATTGATATAATCCAAGATCGAAGTATGGTTCAGTCATGGTGAGGTCGCGCTGCAATTCAAAATTGCTTCCAGGCATTCTGTCGACTCGGGGAAAGGGTATTTTCGGAAACGTTTCAACCCACTTGTAGGGAGGATGGCGGTTTGAGGCACTTTCTTTTTGTTGGAGTGTTCATGTGAATATAGTGAGTGCAGAGACCTTTTCAGAGTGACTGTGCTTTTTGAAGGAAGGCTCATCTTTGGACATCGAGTGCACATAGGCTATTTAAGTCGCTTTCAAAGTGTAGCCTGTAACTTCATTTTATACTCGCGATCTTTATTACCCACAGCTTCGCCGAACAAATGCAAGGAGATTTGCGTTCGGCTTTCATATCCGAGTGTCTGATTCTGTGAGTTCCATGTTTTCCTGTAGAGCTGCAACCTCCCTTGCATAACATGCAACGCTTAAACCTGCAGTCGCCGATGTGACCTAGTCTCGCCGATTCATCTGTGTTAGCATGCCTACGCTCAGCTCATGCGCTGTGAGCGAATCGGGGCACCCAAATGATGATCAGTGGGCACCTGGGCAGATCAGTGTGCTTATGTAATACTCAGTGAGCGGGTCAGGGCGCTCAGGGGCGTGCTGGGATTTACTCAGTGAGAAAAAAAGGCGGCGAGGAGTGAGCACTAAAACAGAAAGGGAAAGCCAAGGCTTGGCAACCCTTGGAAGGAAATCAACCCATTGACTAAGCACCTGATCGATTGTCATGTGACCTTGTGTCATTTGTGTGGTGTGCAGTTACCCGTAGAATAACTAACTAACTAATTATATACATTTTGAAATTGCAACTTGTAGTTTTCATATGATCGCTATGCTATATTGTATTGATCATTTCATATTTTGAGTTCGATGCAAGACCAGCGTGCTTATTTCCACACCTACCATCCCTGAACGGCTCAATCTAAACCGAGTCCTGTGTGACACCAGTATATAGTTCCGGCTGAAGATCTCATTTCCTCAACGCTGCACACTAACAAGTGGCTCCACTTTCGGGAATTTCCCTTGGTCTGTGTTAGTAAGAGGAGACACCTCGATTAACTTCAACATTGTATGGAGTAACTAAATCATAACTAGTTAGTTATAACATAGGTACCTACTCCCATCAAAATGTTTGCCTAGGTACATCCTGTAGTCTACTCCATATCCACCTCCAGTTAGGGCTAGGATCTGCGCCCCAGACACCAAGTTGGGGTTATTTTTTGCATATTACAGAGAGCAGGCCATATGAAAACTATTATGTATGGAGATACGGAGTAATTGCAAGTCAATGTAGAAGGTGGGAATCGTCAAGAGCCTTGATTACATATAATATACAATATCTATGGACAACGATATGCGATGAACAGCAAAAAAAAAAAAAAAAAGGATCGATAATCAATAACTAACTATGTAGTTATGTATCTCAAACATAACCCTCATGACTCAAGATAAGTGGTCCCATTACCACTAGCTCAGTAGTCCACTAGCCAGTGCGAGTCAGTAAAAAGACGCCATGCAGTTATGTCTTCTAGAATCTTTCGGCAGTATTTCGGGAATCCGAATGGAAGGGGGAAATAATGCACGCTAGTAACTTGGGGAAAGCTATTGATCTTAGGTCAAGCCCAGCTTAAACCCGTTATTAACTTCTTCCCTTGCCCCGATGATATTATACATTATAAACTCGGTATCTTCGGTTAAAGAATGAAAGTTAAAAGGTTGAGACCTTGGATGAGTATATATCTAAGGTAAAATACAGTCTAACCTCACTTGCTTTAGGGATGATTGAGATGCATGTTATATAGGACTTGGTGTCATCAAAGTAGCCTAAAATATGGGAGTATTCAAGGACAAAATGTAGAGATATAGCCAATAGTAGAACTTGAAAGCTCAAGAGATCTAAGATAGGTGAAAAAGGACTAGAGAGGGTTGGTTATTCGTTATTCTTCCCCTATACAAACTCAGCTCCGTTATCCACTTCTTTCTCTCTCCCCTCCCCCCCTCCCCTCTCTCTCTCTCCCTCTCTCTCTCTCTCTCTTTTTCTCTCTTATCATTTGGTGATTTTGATCCGATCTTCCCATTATAATTTGAAAAAAAAAAAAAAACTTGATTCTTCATTTCTGGGAAATATTTTTCTTTGGAGTCCTTCCCCCTCATTCTGCCCCCATCCCAAAGCGGCCTACATTGGCTGGAATCCGCAAAAACACATATACCCACAAACACCTCTCTCTCATAGAGAGTATAACCAAAACCTCCCCAATTTCAAAAGGGACTGATGAAGGTATGTGCGCATCTCTTTACTCCCCTATACCCTATACTCAAACACTTCCCCCCTCCCCTCCCTCCCTCCATTAATAATGATATCACGCCCGTCTCAACCACCAATTTCCCTTAGGTCGCTTTTTCAGACCATCACTGACACTGACAGCGACACTATCGCTATCGACTGGCCGGAGGATTGGACGCTCACCGCATTCGCTAGGTACTCCTGCATCTCTCAGACAAACGACGGTGACCCGCGCCTCCTTTGTCCTGGTCTCTCATCGCTTCCCCTCTCCCGGCGCCTCGACCGAATGTGCGACCTCAATACCCAACCTCTCACCGGACTCCATGTGGTCTCATAACAATTTCCTGGACAAAAGCGACCCCCAATTATACAAGCGCAGTTGTGCGGCATACGTCGGGTGCGAACAAGGACTTCTCGGTTGTATTGAGGGAGGTTTGTGTTGGGCGCGATTAGGAAGTGAACCTGTCCCCCCTTCCCTTATATATTGACGGTTTCATTTTCGTTCTATGTACATCGCCTGTTAAAGGGGCTGTCTATAACCAAACGAAATGGAGCCTGAGAATCCGAACGCGTTCAAGCGAAGCTCAATGCACCAAGCGTTATACAGTCGTCCAGTGGAACGGCGTTCAAGCAAGAAGTCTTCATCTAGGGACCGGCATGGTATGGTCTATCCCGACAGTTTCCGAGAAACCACCATTCGAACTGTGACGCCAGAGTCGCACTCCTCCGCCAACCATTCCCCTTTATCCGAACCGGAGCATCTCACGGGCGGCACTTTGTCTTCACCTCGAAACACCGTGCGATCACGGCCCATCGAACCCGAACGTCGTCGGGATTTTAACAAACACTCATCTGGAGCAGGCGAAGAAGATCCTCCGGTGGAAGCAAGGAGTCAACGGGCGCGATCGCGGACAACGGCGGCTGAGGAGCAACGCAACGACATCACCCCTAGCGCCTTCAAAGCTCGAACGCGGGTTGGGTCAGTTAACACGGCCAGTCCATCTCAACCAAAATTACCTGAAGATCCGTCATCTTCCATTGGGTTTCCGTCAATTGAGTCCCCAAAATACAGCAGCCAGACCGTTCCTCGTCATCGAATGAGCAAAGCTGTTGGTCTGGTCGCCGGTGGAGCACAAAATCAAGATTCGTTTGCTTCACCCCTCTCTGGTCCGGAAGCCACAAAAATCCTGCAGTTGATGAAGACTACTTGTGGCAGAATGCATGGAATCCTATCATTTCGAACAGCCTCGACCACCTCCTGGACATCCGGATACTGCGCTATCAATGTCGCTACTGGAAGCCTTATTTACCAAGCCAAGGGAGAGCCGGCATTGGCCAAAACATTAATCCCCGATCTACGTGGTTGTCGAGTTCGGACAATGTGGGACTCTGAACTCCAATGCACCTATCTGAGCGTTTACACATTTACCTCTGGTCTTGGGATACAACTACGACCTCACGTGAACGAAACCTTTGATTCCTGGCTTGCAGCTCTACTTTGTTGGCAACCAATTCGTCCCAAGGGTGTTCAGAACAAAATGACAAAACCTCAAGAGGTTGTGATTGGGGACCGACGAATTCCTGAACGTCGACGCAATTCGGAAAGTGCAGCACAAAAGGATGCAACTATCATCAAGGTTGGCAAGATGCTTTTATGGGACAAGCCGTCTGCTTCCGGGGCGATGCCAGTGTCCGGACGCCGCGTGTCCACGTACAGACAGTCAAGGGCTCTTTCTTCCGCGTGGCAGAAGGTGAGCTGCACGCTACAAGAAAACGGCTTTTTCAAGCTCTACACAGAGTCCGACGTGGCTCTTTTAGCATGCGTGCAGTTATCTCAATTATCACGCTGCGCTATCCAGCAGCTGAACTCCTCGGTGTTGGATGATGAGTTTTGCATTGCCATCTATCCTCAATATGCGGCACACCCAGTCCCCGATTCCAATGCGCGGCCTATATACCTCGCTCTTGAAAGCCGTGTTCTCTTCGAGGTGTGGTTTGTCCTTCTCCGCGCATTCACGATCCCAGAGCTTTACGGTCCTGTGTCTCAGGGAGAAGATCCCAATAAAACACCTGAAGCTGAGGCCACCGAACCACCCTTGACCAAAGACATGTTTCGGATTGAACGATTCTTGAGCTTGAAAATTGTGGAGGCAAAGCTGTTTCGCGCCAAAGAGGAGGACACTCCCCGAAGCCGAAAGGCATCAAGATCACATGGCCAGCCTGTTCCAACCTCAAAGGCCAGCGACTATTACACGGAGGTACTCCTAGATGGAGAAATTCGTGGCAAGACTGCCGTCAAGTATCGCACCATGAATCCTTTCTGGCGAGAAGACTTCCTCTTCACTGATCTGCCGCCAGTGCTATCCCAAGCCTCTATCCTCGTCAAAACTCTCAACCCAACACAGAGGGACTGGACACTCATTGCCCACGGAACATACGCACCCAACCAAGACGTGAGTGCTATGAACATGCTGGATGAGATCGAAATTTCTGCAAATGATATCATCTTCGGACGCGTAGACCTGCGACTTGAAGAATTAGATGCCGGCGTGGATATCGAAAAGTGGTGGCCTATCCTGAATAGCCAAGACCAGGCAATTGGTGAGATGTTTATGAGAGCCCGGATGGAGGAGACCGTCGTCTTGATGTCCGACGAGTACTCGGCGATGTCGGAACTTCTCCACTCCTTCACCAATGGTCTCACAATCAACATGGCACAACTGATGTCATCAGAGCTAAATCACCTGGCCGAGATGCTTCTGAACATTTACCAGGTCTCGGGGTCAACAGTGGAATGGATCTCAGCCTTGGTTGAAGATGAAATCGATGGGGTTCACAAAGAATCCACCACTAACCGGTTGAGGTACACAACGAGGATTCATTCGAATAATACACAGGAGACAAGCCAAGAGCGCGAGGTCCTTGTCAGGGACATGGGAAGGACGGCCACTGTGGAGGCTAACCTTTTGTTCCGTGGGAACTCGCTTCTAACCAAGGCCCTCGATATTCACATGCGTCGTCTGGGCAAGCAGTACCTGGAGGATACTATCGCGGAACGACTACGTGATATTGATGAGAGCGATCCGGATTGCGAAGTTGATCCATCTCGAGTTCCACGCCACGAGGATCTTGATCGCAACTGGCGAAACCTCACGGCTCTTACCACAGGCGTGTGGAAGTCCATTGCGGGATCTGCATCGAGGTGTCCCCCAGAACTGCGACGTATCTTCCGGCATGTCAGGGCGTGTGCAGACGATCGCTATGGTGACTTCCTCCGGTCAGTGACGTATAGCAGTGTTTCTGGTTTCCTGTTCCTACGCTTCTTCTGCCCAGCTATTCTGAACCCGAAACTTTTCGGGCTCTTGAAAGGTATGAAACCATGCCCGTACCTTCGATTTTCTCTTTGTTAACATCTTCTAGATCACCCTCGTCCTCGTGCACAGCGCACCTTGACCCTCATTGCCAAAGCTTTACAGGGTCTGGCCAATATGACAACATTTGGCAATAAAGAACCTTGGATGGAACCGATGAACAAATTCCTTGTTGGCCACCGCTCGGAATTCAAAGACTTTGTTGATTCGGTTTGTGCGATTCCCGCCGATCGACCAGTCCCCATCGTCACACCCTCCTACACCACCCCTATCCAAATCCTTGGGCGGTTGCCGCCCCCATCGCGTGAGGGATTCCCTAGCCTCCCATTCCTCATCGACTATGCCCGCTCATTCGCAAACTTGATACGTGTCTGGCTTGAAGTCTCCCCGGAACGACTTAACGAATTGACCGAGCTGGACGTCAACCTTTCTAAGTTCCAGAAAGAAGCCCTTCGCCTACGGGCACGCACTGAAGAGTGTCTCAGACGAGCCGAGCAAGCAGAGCGGCCAAGTGGAAACCTTGAGATCAAATGGGAAGCACTGGTGGATTCGATGGAACGACCCGTAACCTTCTACGACGAAAGCTCAAGCAAACCCAACACCCCGGCGATAGAAACGTCCATTGGTACTGCACCGGTCCCAAGCAACCATCGCAATTCGGTTGGTTACTTTGCTACGCGTCCTTCGCTTACCCGCCGGTCCACTGACCACGCCCCTGACGCCGAGGATGACACGCCTCCAAGCTCGTCATCAGCGACCTGGGACCAAAGCCGCATTCCATTTTCCATCCCACGTTGGTCTGACGCACGCGACAGCACCGGAAGCTCGAAGAACTCCTCGACCTACTCGCTCGAGTACTCCGAGTCCTCCAAGGCACGTAGGTCCAGTGTCACGAAAGAGTCCTCTTCAAGCAAGTACCGCTTCTTCGACTTTGTTCCTGCTCCCTCCCGACGCAAGGCCAAGGAACGTGACCAGGCTCAAACCCATTCGCACGAGGATCTACGCAATGAATCTTAATGCACCAATGTCTGCCCATGCAATCTCCTTTCATATTTACGCGTTTTTGACCTTGTTATTCCTTGTCTACCTCTTTCCCATGTGCTCATGATTTCCACGTTCCTCTTTTCTTCCCTTCTATCTCTCTCTCTACCCCCCTTTTCCATCTTGCCTCCTCGAGTTCCGTTCTGCTTGATCATCTATATGTCTATGTTCTCCTCTTAAAGCATGTGTCATGGTGTTGATACCCATTCCTTCTTTTGATTGTGTGTTTCATGGTCCCGCCCTCCAGCCCAGCTCTAAGATAAAAACCAAGAGCGCTAAAAATTTTAAGGCTCTCGATTTTTGGGAAAGAAAAAAAAGAACACGATCTGATTTTTGAACTCGGCTGAGGCTTTTGTGTTTTACTCTTTTTGGTCGTTCTGAGTAATCATTTTGGGTCTTTCCTTTGGAGATGGTGGCCATCGTGTAAATACCTTTTTACTCTTTTTATATTCTTCCAATAGATGGAATGGATTGGTCGTTTTTGCAGTATTTTGTTGACTCCATTTGTTGAATAGGAATACAAACAGCAAATGTTATTCGTTGAATACATCTGTACATCGGATCAGAACATAAGAAGACAGCAGGAGATAAAACCAAACCCTAACCAACACCTCTCTTACAACACCGGGTCTTCGAAGGAAGTATCAAAACGCATATCAGAACAACTAGCAAACAAGCTTTACAGCCAAGGAACAACATAAAGAAGAAAAGCGTAGAAAACATATCACTTCCATAGACAGAGCTTGCCACTAGCAGTCCCACCAGCAACCCAGTTCTTGCTACGGTGGAACACAGCCACAGCAGGAACAGCAGTGATGCCATCACCACCAAGTTGAGCAAGTTGATCTCCATTGCTACTGTAAACATCCACGAACCGGTTCATGTTGCCGATACAGAACCGCTGGATGGAAGATTGAGGGTTGATCTGCCATTGAGGGCGGAGACTAGAAGAATAAAGTTAGGGCTTGATACTTGGCGAAACCAAAAAGGGACGTAAAGTGAAGAAAGAAAGGAATAGCCATACATGGTAACCCAGCGGCCAGTCTGGCAGTTATGACGAACAACATTGTCTGGAGTAAACTCCTTCTCTGCAAGTCGGTGGCCCTCCTTCCATGAAGAGAGACCCTTTGCGCCCACATCGTAGATTTTCAATGTGTCGTCGTAGGAAGAAGTAGCAATCTGCCCAGCAGCATTGAAGGCTGCGTGCGAAACCGAAAGCCGGCTTTCATGCTCGGCAATAGGCGTGGGACTGTCAGGGGAGAGCTTGCGCAGATCCCATAACCTCAAGAATCGATCCAGACTTGCTGTCGCGAAGTAGTGGGGCTGGGAGGGACACAATGTGAAGCCTCCGATCTTCTTCTCAGAAAGATCCCAGTTTGACACATTGTTATCTTTCCGCGGCGTGCGCGTATCATACCGTCCGAATCCACCTTGAAGTGTAGTCCAGTACAAGGTGTGAGGGTCGTCGGGAGTCATGTCTACTCCGGAAAGCGCTTCATCGATGTTTGTGGATTCAGGAGCATAGGTCTCTGATGAGACCATTTTCTCCAAGTCCAGGGATCGGATTGAGCTGTCATAACTTGCGGTGTACAAATGTGTCGGCTTTGAGGGGTTGACCATCATTGCGCTGATAGTTCGGGTATGTGGCTTGAGTGTGGTCAGAACTGGGTCTGGGTCATCGTTGTCCTCGTCGTCGTCCTCGCCAACTGCGGGCTTTTCCTGCGAAGCATCCAACATGCCCAGATGACCTAACTTGTCGCCCGCGAATATAAGAGGTTTGGATTCGGAGGGGTGGAAGGCCATGCTGTACACACGTTCCGGGGTGATCTTGATCCCTATAATGATCAACAATGTGTCAGAATAGTAGCTTGTCGATATAGAGAGTATAGTGATTACGCTGAGGGTCCCAAGACTCCCACAATTTAAGCCCATTCATCTCCTCCCGAAGAGCCTTGAGCTCTTTGTCCGTTGTCTTCTCAATTTCATCGTCCCCGAAGGTCCTTTCATAGGGCTGCGCAACACCCTTGGTGATGACATCCACGCCGATCAGGCTCTCTGCATCAAGCTTTTGGCCAGAAATAAACATATCCGCTTGACTGAACGAGCCTGTCCGACGCATCCTCTTGATTCTATCCGCTTCGCGCATTGCCTCATACTCGTCGTCGGCCTTGCGCTTCGCTACTTCACTCTCGGCCGCAATGCCTTTGAGGCGCGATGATGTGCGCCGGGGCGTGGTATCTTCCTCGACCTTCACTTTAGGAGTCGGGCGCTTTTTCGGTTTCGTGACATTGGTGCTGGGGGTCTTAGGGCTTGCGAAGAGGCCGGACGATTGCGACTCGATTGTGAGTTTTTTCAACAGCGCATCACGCTCGGCAATGTTTGCCAAACGCTGCTTTTCAAAGTCCGACAATTCGCTTTTCGCTGCCATGTTCTTTTCGGGGGTTTTGGGCGTCTCTGATTCGTAGGCAGTTTGCGCCTCGGGGGTGCGAGGCACGTCCTCGGCGGAACGCGTACACGACATCATGTGACTTTGCGGGAAGTTGATCGCCGATTAGTCCGCGCTGGTAAAAAAAAAAGATAAAGTGATCTTCTTCTTGTTTCTCTTTTTCTGAAATTGAAGTTGTGAAGTTTGAAGAAGCGGAAGAGAAGAAGAAGAAGTAAGATTTACTCCAGGTTGGACTTGCTCTGGGAAGTGCACGAACAAGGCTGCGCAGGTGCAGACCTAACGACTCAGCAATGGCGACAAATATCAACCGGTTATGCTTCCTCTCAAGAAGCAATTCTACGGCTCCTTTCTTATATCACACTCGTACACTTACGCCACTCTCCTCTGCCGCTCGGAAACAATTCAATCGTCGCTTTCCGCGCTCCTTTTCTACCCAGCATAATACCGAGGCCGATGATACAACGCAGAAGAAATCACTAGCGGGGGATAACACAAGACAGAATGCTTCCGAAGAGTCAATTACCTCCATCTCAACGAGTGAGGCGACCCCCAAACCGCGACGAAGCTATCTGCAGAAAAAAGCAGCATCTGTATCCGAAAGGCCTAGCCTCAGACCATCTGTGGTGAAGAAGACAACGAAGATAGCACCGAAGATCACAACCCAGGAGAAATTGATATTCGGAGGACTCTTAGAACAGCTTGGATTCAAACACGATGGGGAAACTACCGAGTCGAGTTCATTGAAACCACTCAGCGAGGAGAAGAAGGCGGAAATGGCCGAGCTCATGTCGGTTTTTGACAGTCTGCTGAAAGACCCAAGGGCAAAGAAGGCGGCATTGAAAGCCAAGCAGCAACCGAAGGACGACTCTTCTTCTTACCGAAGACAAGCCAAGTCAGAAACGGAAGAACAAGTTCCAGGGGAGAACGAAGGTCCAAAGCGAATCTATCTCCGTGATCTGGGCTATTCTGAGCCCGCCACAGCCAGTGCTGCCGAAGTAACCGTCAGCCTGCGGAGGGCGATTGAGATCGTCGTCAAAGCGGAATCAGAGCACATCGAATTCGCCCTTTTCCAAGCCGTTGAGGATGGCAAGGGCGACATGGGTGTGTGGGAGGTATGCAAAGAGCGCATCTTCTCTATGCTGCGCCACCTAGACGAGAAATCTCTCGTTGAGGCTTCAGACCCGGACAACCTGAGCACAACAGATCAGCCTGAACTCTCCACTCGGCCATCAGGACCTCTCCGAGTCCCAGCCGTCGTTCCAGTCGCCCCCGTCGTGGTATCTCTATACCCGAAGGTCCTCCTGATCGCCTTCCGCCTGCTGAACACTCACTTCCGCGAATCCCCACTTATCCCCCAATTCCGCTCAACGATCAAAGAGTACGGCCGTATCTCTTCTTTCCTCGGTGCTTCATCGGGCTTGTACGATGAGTTGATCCATTACCACTGGCGAGTATGCAAGGATCTCCCCGCTGTGATATCAATCCTGCGTGAGATGAACCAGCTTGGCATCAACCCAAGTGGAAAGTCCCGCGGCATGCTGACCGGACTTATCATTCGTCATGCCCGGGACTTGGAAGCTCATCGGAAATCCCCGGACGGGAAGGATTTCTTCTGGGATTTGCCGTCTAACAAGGAGGCGTTCGATGAGCTTACCCGCAAGGATGGGTGGATGGATCAGATCGAGGCACGTTCAGAGGATGAGGCGTGGGAACGTCAATCTACTCGGACTTCCCGGCCCTAAGCTCTCGTGTTCTCTTTATGCAGACTTTAATGTACAATCTAGACTATCATGTATAATAATACCATCAGGGAAACCATACCAAGCTTCATGTTATTCCAAGTAATGTATGTATGTACACCAATAACTGTATCTAACCAAGAAAAAGAGCCAAAGCGAGCTTGCTGGAGCAAAAGAAAGAAAACAACCAGAGCTCATACTCTCTACAAATCCCCATGAATGCCCCAAAACCTTTCCGCATTGAAGGTATACATAGTATCATCCTTCCACAAATCATCAAAAGCAGTAAAAAGCACCAAATCCTCCCTCCGGTGATCAAAACTCTTCCTCAAACTCGCAATAGCCGCCTTTTGATTGTCCACAGAAGGAACAGCACCTCCATTCGCATCCCCAGCATGCGGCCACCCAGACTCGGTAATCATAGTACGCTTCCCACCCGCTCTCTCGGAGATACTACGCGCCTGCTCGAGCGCATACGAACCAGCCCCAGCAGGTCGCTGCGTAGCATCGAAGAAAGAATGGCAATTCGCCGCGCAGTAATCAGAGACATGGCAGAGTTCCGGGTGATCGAGGAGGACGGAGAAGGTATCGACTGTGACGACGGGACCTGTGTAGCCCTGTGCACGGAGCACGGAACGTGCTTTTTGGACGGCTGCCACGACGTCGTTGGCGGAGTTGGTGCCGCCGTTTACGAGCTCGTTGCCGACGGCGATCGTGTGAAAGATTGACCAGTCCTTTTTGCCGTCTGGGCCTGCTGCTGCGTCGCTAAAGGCGTCCAGGCTTCCTGGGAAGTCCTGTAGGTCGTAGACGCCGCCGAAAACGCGCATGTTGTGTCGTCGTGCGGCGTTGGTTACGGTTCTTGTTTGGTCGCAGTCTGTACCGTAGATGCGGATGAAGGAGTATTTGGAGACTCGGTCTAGGTCTTTGTTTACTTCTTCTTGGTTCTTGCAGGTGCGGTCTGCTTTGTAGGGGGAGTAGGAGATACCGAAGTGAGCGTGTGGGTGCGGGTGAGGATGCGGGTGAGATATGGCTGGTTTGGGGTGTGCCTTAGGGTGTTGTAGCTCCTTGGGCTTGCCTTTGGCTGGGACAGGGTGGTCGTTTGCGTCGCTGTTCTTGAGGAGTAGATTTGGTGGTGGTATCTCGGGGACATCCATGCCTGGGATGGATATTGGGGGTTTCTTTGATGGAAGAGTTAGGGCTGGCTTTCTGATGGGGAACAAACATCTCTTCTTTTCATCGGGAACGGTCTATCTACTAACATTCTCTTGTGGTGCAGAGGTTAAGGCTTGAAGGTAGTGTGTTTCCGTGCTGATGCGCTCTCCCTTTTCATTGACCCAGACGACTACCTCTTTGGTATAGGGTGGTTGGACGACATCTCCACGAGATTGCTTCTCGACTATCACCAATCAGTAAAATCCCATATAAGCATGAGATTATTTGAACAATACGTTCTTACCCCCAGCTTCGGCGCAAACACCACATGCAAATAGAAAGGCAACAAGCGCCTCAGTAAGGTGCTTCATTTTGCAGCTCAGTTCTCCCGAGGGAAGCTGACCTGTGAACTCTCGAGTGAAGTAATTCAAACTTAGTCTTGAACTTAGTCAATGGCGATCATAACAAGAGTGACTTCGCAACCATCTGGAAAAGGAAACCAACAGACATGGTGCCGATCGGACCCATTATAACCATGCGATCGGTCTCGAGCACGGAATTCCACCTATGTGGACCTGATTAGCAGAGCGTGTAAACATGAGGATAGCCAAGCATAGCGCCTCGATCTGGGGAGGAGATGTGGAATGGAATCAGGGAGCTTCTAAGACTTCAAACATGCCCCGTGGCTTGGTTGAGGCCCCTCTGGCATCTCACTTGCGGGAAGAGATCTTAGTTTCGGGGCATCTGATACGAGATCTCGAGGTCGGGGATAGACCGAGAATGCTCCTAATGATGGAGTCGATGGAATGTGGGGCCCATTCCTGGGGCTTGCTCAGAGACACAGTGGGATTCGGTGAATGTGAGACAGAATGCTGGAAAGAAATTATTCCATATTATTGAGAGAGACATTGGAAGGGGGTCAGAGGAAGGAGAAGGGGAAGGTTTAGGGCTAGAGTCTGGCCCGGAGATATTGGCGGTCTGCTAGCGAGGTCCAGGGCTATTAAATAAATGGGGAAGTGTTGTTTCGACTTCAGGATTTGTTTAGCATCTCTGACTAGCAGACACTGAAACTTATAGCCGTGGAGACTATTACGGCGAGGGCAAAAGCAGAGGATAGGAACATGAAGCATTACCTCCATTTCAGGGTTAAGAGGTTCCAGGTCTGAATAATGTATGGAAAAGAATGGACAAATCCTTGAAACAAAGAGTCAAAGGTAAAAAGATAGTATTAAACAGCTTAAAACCATGCACAGGTGTATAATCATACCGCCAACGGAGAAAGAAAAGGGCGGGCCTGTGCAAGGCATGCAATAAGAATGTACATCCACAAGGTAACAATACAAGTATTGAAGGGGCATTAGGGCGTAGGTCGACTGAGGAGAACGGAAAATCGATAGATGCCGAAGTCATATGGGCGTGAGCAGTCATCGGATTGTCTGGTCAGGACAAGAAGCTAAGAAGCAAGGGAATATATTACTTCCTCTTGCTCATCACCTTGGTAATGGCATGTCGAATGATTGTTCCTGCCTTTTCAATCTCCTTCTTCGTGAGACCGGTAGTGACGCACACCTTCAGGGCTGGTGGGATAATCTGCTTAGGCTCGAAGTTGTCCTCGAGGGTCTTCAGCCGCGTGATTAGAACACCGTTGGCAAGAGACTGCAAATCGTTAGAAATGGTTCAAATGGAAGGAAGTGTAAAACATACCTCATCGACTGCATCTTGAAGCAAGAACTGCTGGTCGTTTGGTGTAAGTCGCTTGGCAGCGACAACCTCCGGCTTGATGACTAGGATGAGAATAGGGTTTTCAGGCGAGCTGGTGCAGTAAACCCAGTCACTCCGGGGATCCAGCTGAGCCCGCATGGCTTTGGTGAGTTCCCGAAGTTGTGTCACTGTGTCAGGGTTGTTCTGAAGGATGTTGATAGTGGCACTGGCGGTGGTCGAGAGCAAAGCGGGAAGCGCGGCGGAGAAGGTGTAAGCAGCGGCGGAAATACGCTGGTGGTGAACAATCTCCTCTGAACCAGCACAGAAGCCACCTCCAGCAACGAGGGGACCAGCCAGTGACCCCACAATCATATCCACCTCGGCAGCATCGACGTTCTGGTGCTCCGTGATGCCACGGCCAGTGCGTCCCAAAACACCGAAGGACCAGGTTTCATCAAGGATCAGACGGAACTTGTACTTGAGTCTGAGTTCGATCTGCGACACTTGTAAGCACCTTGAATTCATAATTCAACTTAACCGGAACACATACGATCTTGGGCAAGTCCGCCATGTCGCCATAAGACTCAAACAGACCCTCTGTGATAATAAATCTGCGAGTCAACGGCTTCCGGGCTTGCTCCTTGGTGACCTTCGCGAGCACTCGCTCCAGATCCTCCATGTCATTATGCTCATACCACCGGACAATGCTTCGAGAGATCTGAATACCCTTGCGAATGGCAAAGCTAACCCCTTTATCCGCAACGATGATGTCTCCACGCTTCGAGAAAGCAGGGATAACACTAGAAATGGTCGAGAAGGCCTGAGAGTAGATGATGCAAGCCGCGGTCCCCAAGAAGGACGCTACATCATCTTCTGTCTTCATGTGAACATCCTGCGTGCCGTAGAACCCACGGGGTCCGCAGGGACCCACTCCATAAGCGCGGAGTGTCTGGATTGCCTGTTCCTTAAGGGACTCATTGGTATTGAAGTTGTAAAAATTGAATGAGCCAAGGTTTGTGACAGTGCGGCCGTTGGTAAGTTTCGATTTTGGGCCTACGGGGCTGTAGATCACAATAATCCGTCAGTAAAATGTCCGCGGAGTAAAGTAGGCAGAAGCAATGGGTACGATACCCAACAATCACGGTTCTCTTATCAACCTCCATCTGCTCCAAGGTTGTCGGGGTCCCGACAAGGGGTTCTGGTGTCCATTCATCCACGAGGTCGTCAATCTCATCTTCCGTGAGTGGTACAACGCCCGGTTTAGTCGAATATTTGGGCGCTAGCAGATATCGGACGGCGAAGAGGAAGAGGAAAAGTTCGACGGCAGAACGAATTGGGTCATCTTGGTAGCTGGACTTCACGTAGCGGAGGAATATTGCGGAGCCAGGCACACGGTGAAATAGATCCGCGAGTTCGTGCAGATATTCGGAAAGGATACGCTGGGTCTCCTGGAGATCCATGGCGGAGGGTTGGAGAGAGCGCAAGTGATATAGTGCGCCAGGCCAGTGAGATGCCAGAAATTCAATAGGTTAAAAGGAGGCGTGAAAGACAGGTGCTTGCTCGTTCGTGGAGGACGGAGTGAAGATGAAACGGGAGGGTCGGAGTCCTAGGAACCTCCGTGCCACGTGACCTGTGTATTGTTGCATGCGTTGCACAATCTAATTTGAAATTAGGGGACTACGAATTGGTTTTTATGTCAAATAGAATTTCACGAAAGCAATGCAATTTAATTCCGGTAGAAGTGTAAAATAAAACAAGCAAAGAAAGCTGGAAAAACGAAGGTAAACCCCCCGAGGATGACCCTGGAAGACCCCTTCATACAAGCGTCATTCCACAAACAATATTTGGAAGCAACCATTCATTAAGATCAAATTGTGCGCCGGTGAGTTCAGAAAAATGCAGCGAATTTTAATAGACGCATAACTTTGTACAAAGCATTTCCATGTCGTGTCGCCGAAGCGATTAAATGGACCATACACCAGTACCCTCGGAGGCTGCTGGGACGCTGCCTGAGGTGTAGCCCTTGGGGATGTTAGAGCCGGTGAACCAGGAGACAGTGTCATTGAGTCCATGGTCAAGTGGTTGCAGGAGACCAACTGCATCGGTCTTGGAGACACCAAGGCTTTTCCAGAGGTCCTTGCTGAGAATGTCATCCAATGACCCCGTGTTTCGCAGGACGACAGGCGCAGCGATGATGACGACAAAGATGAGGAGCATGACAAAGTAAAGAATCGCGAAGCGGACCACCCGTCTCTTGCGAAGCTTAGACTGCTTCAGAGAATAGATAGGAGGGCGGATTTGAGAGCTAAAAGCAGGTCTGTTAGCAAGGAGTTGTGTTGATATTGGAATGAAGAGATACGTACCTCGGGCGGAGCCAAAACAGGATGACCGAATGGAAGGTGTCGACATAGGGAATGGCGAGGACCGGGAGCATGGCAAACAGGAGAATATGGCCAAGGAAGAAATCGTTGGCGAAATAACCGAGTTCAGTGATCTTGCACAGGAATTCACGTCCAGGCTGAGAGAGGGAGTGCCATCCCATGTTGTACCATTTTCCGGTCCACCATGCAATGTTGGACTGGTCGTTTTTGAATTCACGGGTCAATGCAAGAGAAATGATGACCTTATAGATGAAGCGCTGTAGAGCCATGGCAGCGATCATTCCAGAGATGGTTCTGGCCCAGCTGAGGGATTCAAGGAAGAACATGGCGAGGAAGAGAAGCAGGAATACAATGACAGCGATGGCATGAGCGATAGCGGCGAGAACAGCACCGAACTTCTTGCAGCACATGCCAAACAATGGGCCCATACAACAAGCCATGCCGAAGAACATACCCGCGACACCGGCATTAACACCCACGGGAGCGAAAGCGACAATAGCAACCCGAAGGATGGGGTTCGCAGCCCATTTGACATCATCGGAGTACATTGTCCGGGAGTTGATATATAGGTACGGAATCAGTGTGGCACCAACGCCGAGCAGGGGCGAAATGATTTCGCTGAAGAAGATGTTGGTGATGCGAGCTCTGGGGACATCACCGGAGCCCTTCTCCGATGGAACACCGAGAAGTTTCCGCTTGTAACCAGTGATGCGAGTGCGGGAAAGACGACAGAAGCCAATCCAAGAGGAAGCATGGGATCGGGAGTTACCGCGAGAAAGCCAGCGGATATAGTCGCGGTAATCGATGAAGAAGTCGGTCCAGGCAAACTGGTGAGGGTTGAACAGGAAGGGCGAGATGCACAGTGCGAGTAGAGAAACCCAGAACCAGATCAGAGCGGGAGTCCAGACCGTTGTGGTACT